TACAAAACAAAATGCTAACTATAAGTATAACCAGATCTGAAAACATAACTAACGGTTTGCAACAAATGAAAAAGGTTTTGCTAGTTCTTTCCAGTCATATTCTTTATTATAATAAACCGTCAAGTCAAATTAAGGTTACATAATAAGGAAAAAATATTTCTTATGAAAAAATTTGATTTTGATCGGTCAGTTTGTTTGGCAGCTATATTTTATAGTGGTCCGATGTTGGCGGTTTCAACAAATGAGCATTTTCGTAAGCACTTTCTTGTAAAACTTCATATTGATATCTCAAAAACTGAGAACTAGTTCGTGTATGCACAGACTGGACAGACAGAGGGACAGACATGGCAAAACCGCTGGTATATATACATATACATACATACTTTAGGGTCAGGTTACTGTTCAGGGTATATTAAAATGACAGCGAGCGAAAAATTATTAAGTAATGCTCGACGTTGGTGGATGTCAAACAAGTCATTCAAAGAAAAAATTAAAATTTTTTAACGATTATTCAATTGGCAATTCAAATCCAAACAAATCAGAGTTTTAATACAAAACATATAGTTAAAACTATGTTTTGCTTACTTTTTCGAACTTCAAATCGATTTTTGAGCTTTTTTACTACATAAATACACATATACTTTTTATGATGTATGTATGTACAAGTATGTACATATGTGCACAACTTAATCTCAGTCTAGAGAAGCGATTAAACAGAAAGCAAAAACACCAAAATAAAATTAAATTGTAGTAGATATTGTTTTTTCTTTTGTTTTGTAAACAACGGCAATGTCAGACTGCGGGATTTACGGGAATTATGATGAAACATTTGCCAAAAAAAACACACAAAAACAAAATGAGCGTGTTTCAATTTATTTTTTAGTTCAAAGTTTTGCAAGTTATAAAAAAAATTGTGTCTCACTCGAGGTAAACTGAACGACTGAACGTTATAGTGAAGGATTTATTTATTTACGAATATTTGAACATGTTTGATGTAATCTGTTTTCAAAATTTGAAGTAAAAAATCACATACACAGAAATAATACAAACTGAAAGTGTTTAAGAAATTCCGTCCTAATTTGGAAAGTTAATGCGATAAAATTGATCAAATAAACGAATTAATAGAATTTAAAAATCAAAATAAAAATATTTAGAATAGTTAAACCAATTCTCCTTGAATCACTAATCAGGGTTAATCTTATTCGATGAATACTACCTGGATTATAAACTTCTATATTTGGTTCATCAGATTCTCTTAGGTCAACGAGGCGTTTTGAGCACACAATGCACAAACTTATTTAGGTGATTAATATCAATCCCAGCTACTTCGCTAGATTCGAAAAGATGAGGCTACCGAGGTATTTCAATCTCAGTCTGGCAAAAACTGGGCGATAGTGAAGAAAGGGGTAAGATTTACGTAGCCCACATTTAATTAAAATAAAAATAAATTACTTATCGTAATTATTTAATTTTCAACATTAACCCTCCCTAATAAAAAGAAAATCTCTATCTTATCAATGTGATCGTGCATTTTTAAACTCTAGGTGGAGAATGACGGTAATAATATTTTTACAAAGGTGTTCTACTACAACTAAACAACGCGGCTTCTAGTGGCGCCATCTGTCTGAAATTGTTATCCCTCATTTGTGTATTCTTCAGTGTTGTCGTATAAAATTTATATAACAGCTGACATGTATAACAGCTGAGATATCGCGCTACATGTGACATTACATTTTGTAATGTCGGTCGGAAAATGAGCATCGAACAAAGAGCCAACATTCAGTTTTGTTTTAAACTTGGTAAAACTTTTACCAAAACTCATCAAATGATGAAACAAGTTTATGGCGATGATTCTCTATCTCGTAGCCGTATTCACGAGTGGTTTAAACATTTTCAAGAGGAACGGGAGGACTTGAAAGACGACGAACGTTCGGGCCGGCCAAAAGATTTTGTGAACGAAAAAAACACGGAAATTATGCGTGAATTCATTCTAAAAGAGCCGAAATCATCGCTTAAATATATGGAATCGGAATTATCAATATCCGTAGCGTCGATTAAAATACAATAATTTGACAGAAAATTTGGGCCTCAGAAAGGTTTTTGCTCGATTTGTCCCGCACACTTTGAAACAACACGAAAAAGACATCAGAATTCAACATTCAAAAGACATCATTAAAGAGGCCAAAAAGGACCCAAACTTTTTGTATTCGCCTGATATGGCACCCTACAATCTTTATTTGTTCGGAAAACTACATTTGGCCATGAAAGGAAACCGCTATTCTGACGTTGATGCCATCCAAAAATCGACGTCCGCCATCCTCAACGCTGTACCGACAAATGACCTAAAAAAGTCATTCGATAACCTTCTTGAACGTGCAAAACGTTGTATTCAGGCGGAAGGAGACTATTTTGACGGCGACCAATAAGTTTTTCAAAAAAAAAACAAATAATATTCGTTTTTTAATAAAAGTCCTGAAACTTTTGAATTGCATCTTGTAGCAATGAGAACTTTGGAGGCTGGTCGACGTAGCGAATAAAGCTTAGAGACCTCTAGTGATAGGTGCAGGCGCCAATGCGCTCTTATAATGATAAATAATATAGCTATAGCTAACCGAGAGGAGGAACCAACATATATTGACCCAACCTCGAAGAAGGTTCATGATGTAACAATGCATACTAGCAAAATAAACACTGTAGAGTGCTTCGTACACCCTCGTTTTCTAACCATGTGTATGTGTCCTCAATAAAAGTTCAATCTTCAGAAATCCTAAGAGTACTAACTGAGACCCATACAGGAAGATTGGAATCGCGTACCCTCCAGTCTTACCGAAGGCGGGCAAAGGGGTCCGCCTTTTTTCGAAAAAATATATGTAGGCCAATAACTCAAACCTCATTCGTTTTAAAGACATTTGGAAAAATTCTAGACGCCTATATTGGAGACAAGCTTTTGTTAGCCAACATGTCACAAGCACAGCACGCCTATACGGAGGCTGCACCTCTTTCGCTAGCCCTAAATCTAGAAAGAGCACTGATTGCTCAGCACAAATTGCTCAGGTTAGGGCAACAGAAACTCCTGAGGGGAAACTCCCTCCTAGGGTAAGTTGTAGCTAATGAGCTTTTGGAAAATTTTGAAAGGAAAGCTGATAGCCTATGTAAACGGATATTACTAACTAAGGAGCATACCAAGTAACTGGGAGTGATTTTGGACAGCAAACAGTTACAATGAAATTTCCGAAATGGCTGACTAACTGATCAGGACAATATGGAATGCCTTAAGGACATGCAGTATTGCCAAAATCAATCCCCGAAGGAAAGCACAAACTACTGGCATCACATGCGAGCCGGATAGACATAAGTACCAACGATACATGCAAAATGTGAGTGTAGGAAGGCATTATTTAACAATAAAATATTTATACAATACTCAAATTGATGAGATTTCGTACCTGTTTGGACTCTACACCTATAATGTACCTATATATATATTTATATATATACAGCTGTGTTCACAGAAATAGCAGTGCGAGAAATGCAATCAAGTAATGTTATTTTTTTTTCAGGTTCCGTTACGATTATTCCAACGTCTACGCATTGTTGTTGTAGAATGGAATGTGTATAAGGAAGAAACGAAAAAATCCCGTTAGAAGTGATTACCATCTTTTTCTGTCCATGGCGAACGCGCTTAATGGTGAGAAGTTGGCCTCAAGAGAGGCCTGTGAAAATTGGCTCTCCGAGTTTTTTGCCAATAGGGACGTATCCTGAAGATAGCATCTCGTTGGCAACAAATTTACGAACAAAACGGCGCATATTTGACTTAAATCGGCAAATATACACAAAGTTATCATCTTTTGAGAAATCAATAAAAAACCGAACGAACTTTTTACTTGACCTAATATTATAATTTTGTAGAATTTCAAATGCGTCATCAATGCGTCACTTCTCATCATGGTTTGTTGTGAATATCAGTTTAGAAAGTAAAAAATTAATCAGCCCACATAACTGTACATGCCTACATACGCAAATGTGATGAGGGGACACTAAATTATTTGATAATGATTGGTATATTATCTATCCATATTACCTATACTTGTAGTACTAGAATAGTATAAATGTACAAATTCTTTGAACGTTTTTGAAGAAAAGAGGAAATAATATCGATAGATAGGTATGTAATAATAATAATAGCTAAAAAATTAGTTAAATAATTGTAGGGGAAAAAATAGGGATTTTCTTATGACGAAGTTGTGTTGCTATCTCAGAAAAAAGTTGATATGGCATGACAATAGATGCTAATCTTAAGCCTTCTGTAAATATTTCACACTATTTGGCACACACTTATCTAGAACACACAAGCATACAATTTATTATTACTATGGAAAAGCCGAAGTTTCGGCGATTGATGTGCCTACACCTCTAACGACGGCTCAAAATTTGATTCAAATTATAAAGAATTTACTTACTTACACCTTAAACCGAAAACTTTGCTTATTCCCTTAGCTCCCTGTACTCTAATTAATATATCAGTAAACTAGCAAATGAGGTTATAAGGAAGTTAGGCGAGTTCCCAAAGCACATATTTTGGCCAAAAATACGCAAGCGGACTATTGCCTACCATTTATTTAAAAGCATCGCTTTTTTATAAAGCTCTATTTTAATTCTATCCGGTTCATTTCCAGTAGAAACAGTATGGTCTACGAGGCTTCTTCCTGACATATTTTGTGTTCTGCGTTGTCACCTTCCTAAGTGAGGAATCAACACATCTTCACTAGTATAGGACTTGGACTTTAGCCATTCCCACTCTTTTGGGTTACATAACCGAAAAAGCTGGGAATGAGTTGAGTCGAGAGAGCCCTTAATCTCACGCTCATAATCGATTTGAAGAAATTTGTCATTATACCCTCTATGACGATCAAATTCACATTCTAGGGACGAAGCATTTCTTGACCGCAAAACTAGGGTTCACACACAATTACCCCACATCGACAAATATTCAAAAAAATATGAAAACAGGACACCTTGTACTGATCCATACCAGCAACTTATGAACAGTCGAATCAAATTGTAGAGAAACAATACGATGTACATTGCGCACACAAAATACTCAATTCGTTATCTTATCAGTCTGCCAAATGTACGTTTGTCGCTATTTACTATCAAGTGAGCAAGCAGACGTGAAGTCTTACAAAACGCAAGAGCGCCCAAATAAAGGCTAAAGGCTGAATCTATGTACATATATTCATAAGTAAATATGGAACTCGCGGATCACTCAATATTGATTTCAGTAACGGTTTATAACTCAAAACGAGTGCAAGCGCATAACAGTTTCAACGATCACACAGTAAAGACATACTACGAATATTCTAAGTGCTTGCTAAAGAAAGTTTTATAAAATCAATAAAAATTCTAACACAAATATACGAAAATGTCAGAGACTAAAACCACAAAGTGTGCTTTAAAGCTATGCTTTCTTCACCGCAATAAGCTCAATATGTTGTTGTTCGTGCTGTTACTTTTCCATATAAGTGTCGGTAACGCGACGGAAACAGATACTGCTATCGATCCCGCAAAGCGATACTCCTTCACAACAAAGCCACCGCCCATAGATGTGGGCCTTGCAACAAATCACACGCAAGAAACGAAAAAAATAACACGTTCGCTGCGTCTTCCGAACACCACATTCCCGCTACATTATCACCTACATATTACAACGCACATACATCGGGAAATTTTCGAGTTCACGGGCAATATGACTATTGACATTGAAATACGCGAATCGACCAACGAAATTGTATTGCATGCAAAAAATATTACCGTTACGGCGATTACGATGCTTGAACTGCACACAAACGAAAGATTGCTTGACCTCACCTACACGTATAAGAAATATGGCAGCTACTTGATCATACATCCGATTGAAAACTATGTCTCTTTCGAAGCGGGTCAACGTTATCGAGTGGAAATTTTATACAAGGGTCTCTTGCGCGAGGACTCATTCGGTATCTATTGGATGACCTACAGTGATGAAAAAAATGCCACAGTGTAAGTAGTGCGCATATGAATAATGGACAGCTGCAAAATGGCGGGAAGGGTTAGGAAGAATACACCATACATATGTATGTGTGTATGTATTTATGAACATAGTTGGTAACAAATGTAGAAGCTCGTGCGCGCATTCGTGTATACGTATGCATGCGTATGTGTATGTATATAAGTATTTGTATAATTGATATGGTCAAATGAAATCAGACTATTTGATTAAAAAAATTATCTAAGCACAATGTTAGCTTTATATATATATATATTACACACGCGTACATAGATATAACTATACATGAAACGGCAGCTAGACAACGCGTGCTTCGCAACTGTGTGTCACTGCTACAATTCGTCTTTGGATTATTATCAAATTACCTTCACAGGCACAAACATATGGTACATGCATACATATGTATAATTATGTTTACATATGGCAATATGTCGTTGCATGTATGTATGTATAGCGGGTGTCTCATAGTTCAACGCTGATGAATTGCCCCCAAAACAAACAGACTGCTGATAAGTTCTATCAATGAATTTGTGTGTGAAAGGAAATAGTGCTGATAAGTGTGCATTGAACAAACGCAAAAACACGAACAACAAATAATAAATAACAACAAATAGTAATAATTGTAGAAGTGAAATTTTTACAATATTATGCAAACAAAAACAACATATTTACAGTGAAATGAAAATATAAGCGAGAGTTATTTATGTGTAAATAATATTGTGTTGAATTCAACGGAAGATTAGTTGCCACAGCCGAGTTACCATGACACCAAAATGATTGTAATTGTGAAAATAATTCGAATTTAGAAAAGTGTTTTTGAAGAAATACTCTCAAATATTCAAACTACCGAAAAAATATGAAAAATTTATTCAGTTTTTTTTTTTAATTTTTAAACTACAATACCCATAATAAATGCCACAAAGGTAAAGTTTAGATAACCAGTCAAAAATATTTATTATCGATGGAATCATCTAAGTTTCTCTAATTAAAATGCACAAATTCGATACCAAAATAAATTACCAAAAGCATATTCAAAGAACATTTTATGATCATCTAAAAACCATTAACAGATGACATCACTTACTTAACGAATTAGACCAGTCTAGAGCCCCAAAAAATGGCATAATTTTGACCATTTATTCTGGGTGTAGAGAAAAAATAATCGTATTCCCTTCTCCCAGCTATTATTAAACATGTATTTAAGGGTATACAAAATGATTTTATTAATATTTTTATCAACAAGAAAAAACGGTAAATTAGGTTGCACCGAAGCTATAATACCCTTCACAAATATAAATATTTACATTAAAGAACTTGATTTTGATCGTTCAGTTTGCTTGGCAGCTATATGCTATAGTGGTCCGATATTGGCAATTCCAATAAATCAGCAACTTCTTGGAGAGGCGTGGGACGCATATGAAATATCAGGTCGAAATCTCAAAAACTGAGTTTGCGTATATACAAACGTATATATCGTACTAAATCGACTCAGCTCGTCACCCTGTTGATTTATATTTATATATTTTATAGAGTCTCCGACGTTTACTTTTGGGTGTTCCAAACAACGTGGCAAACTTAATATACCCTGTTTAAGCTATATAAAAGGCCCCTACTAAGCCAATTCTTATTTTTCTAGTGGGCCTCAATGTACGACAGTGTTTCTTAATAAATAAGTCTTAGCTAGTAAAACATGTACGTTTTGAAGTAGTTGTATGTATCATTAAATTTGACTCCGATGAAAAATTGATTCATAGAGTCCGCTACTATCATAAAATCAGAGCGTAGAAAATAACTTTAATTCAAATTCAGAAGAATCAATAAGAAGTAACATCAATTTAAAGAAATAGATTGGTATGAAAAACTCCACAGAAAGTAATTCTGGATCCGCCACTGGCTGCCATACAAATTAACCGATCATAATCAAGTCCTTGTAATTTTTTTTGCATTTTACAAGATATCTTGGCACGGATTATTTTCAAAGGCATAACTTCAATCTACGAACATATTGTTCAGAGCGAACCACTATAATATATAACTGCCATATATGACCAATGGCCGATAAAAATAAAGTTCTTGTATGGAAAACTTTTTAATTTTATGATATATAACACATATTTCTGATCGAACCGCTATATAAATTATCATTGAGAGCTTTTTATACCCTTTTATAATATAAAAAAGCACCTATGCATTTTTTTTTGTTTAACTACAAATTTAATTAAAACTTTCATTAAAAACCTCTCGGTAAACACAGACACCCTTCCACGCTTTTGCAACGTACACACCTCCATAGCCAGACAGCCAAATTAATCAAACTTCTCTCTATCTAATTTTCTTTTTAATTTAATCACTAAACTACACACAGTTATGTGACGGCAACGCAATTTGAGCCGACTAGTGCACGCTTGGCCTTCCCCTGTTACGATGAGCCATCATTCAAGGCGAACTTCACAATAAGCCTGACGCACAGCAACAATTACACGGCCATCTCCAATATGATGGTGCGTCAAATTGAACCGAGCCTTGGCGCAAATGCTGCACTCGATGACAAGTAAGTACTCTGTAGTCATAATTGAGTAATACCACACTCTCACACACACACACACACACAAACCCGCACATATATTTACGCATGTGTTGTTGGATTATGAAAGCCAATTAATAAACCGTAAATTTACACGTATTCAACAACTGCTCATCCGTTTATCTCATCCATCAAGCCACTCATTCACCTACAGTGTCACCCATACATACATATATATACGTCCACTTTTCACTAACAGTACTACTTGCTTACTTTGTGCGCAGCAGCGTTGATGACACAATGGTGACAACCACATTCCACACCACTCCACCTATGTCGACATACCTGGTCGCATTCGTCATCTCCAATTTCGTGTATATTTCGGAGGAATATCGCGGCGTTCAGCAACGCATCTTCACCTCGCCACGCGTCGCTGATAAAGGCCGGAAGGCTTTGAAGAATGCCGTTCGTACGGTCGCCATGTTGGAGGATTACTTTGGTGTCGATTATCCGTTGGCGAAATTAGATCATGTCGCGCTGAAGAATAACTACGGTGCGGCCATGGAAAACTGGGGTTTAATTACCTATAAGGAGGACAACCTGGCGCAGACGGATGACGGAGATATGCACAAAAACTTGAAGGATGTGATAACACAAAATCATGAAATCGCGCATCAATGGTTCGGCAACTTAGTATCACCGCAGTGGTGGACATATGCATGGCTTAATGAGGGTTTTGCCACCTATTTTGGTTATTTAGTCACCGATTTAGTAAGTTTTTGTTAGTGCCATAAAGTATAATTATATATATATATATATTGGTGTCATAAAGTATAAATGTATTAAATTTTTCACATTTATTCAGCTTTATCCCGAGTATAAAATCATGGACTTCTTTTTGATCGAAATTGCTGAGCGCGCTTACAGTTACAACTATATGACCGTACGTCCGATGACTTACTATGTGGAAAATGAGACTGCAATTTTGTCAACATTTGACATCATATCCTATCACAGAGGTTGGTTGCTATATTTCAAGTCTCAACTCTACGAAATCTAATATTTGACAGAGCATTGACCCTTATTTCCGATATGAGTTTTCATGTTGCACTATAAATCAGCGTTACAAAAGCTTTAAGGGGGTCATCCAATGTGACGGACTGTTTTTAGGATTTTTTTCAACGGCCAGTAACTAGATAAGCCTCAAGTTTATTATCATTTACTAACATACATTTCGACAGTATAAATATAAATTTTAAGCTATAAAAGTAAGAAAGGTCTCAGTTAGGGTGTAACCAAATATTTCATACTCCTGCAACTTACCAGAATCAAAGTCGTGGAAATAACTTCAAGTGTTAGCAAAAGTTTATTTTATAAATGTTGCCAAAGAAGGAATATAATTCGATTTCATCCATTTTCGCACGGTAGGTATTCGAATGATTTGTTAAAATCGAATTTTGTAATTGTACTTTTAGTAGTTTAGGGGATATGTAAATTACAGTTTTATATCTTGACTAAGTGCTCAGTTATGACATTTTATAGGTTTTCAATTAATAGCGTTTTGTGGGCGTGGTCTGATTACACCCATCTAATCCTATCTGAACATGTGACAAAATATTATCACGATATCTCAATTTTTACTCAAGTTGATGATATATAACTCCACATTTTTCTCAATTAGTTTTAGGTGATATAAACAACCGTGATCAGAACTATTATATTCTGTAGCTACATGTTGCAAGAGTATAATTATTTTGTAGAACATGAAAACCCGACTTGAAAAAATGGCCTCGCACTTCCTATACTATTCCAGCTGATTGGCTTATCTGAAACCAAAAAACTAGACTTTTGGTAGACATTTGAAAAAAAAAAAACTAGCGAATTTTGCGTTGCTTTTTGTTTTTGGCTATAGAAAATCGAAATTTTCGAAATTTTTGATTGATAATAGTTCATTTCATGCGTTTACATGTGCTGAGTGTACCCTACAAATTTCAACTTATTCGGTCAAGGCTTTTTAAAATACGATGAAGGAAAATTTTAAAAAAAGTTTTGAGAAAAACGCGTTTAAAGTTTCCGCAATTAAGCGCTTCCAACAACTGTATCTTTAAAACGACTTTGAATTTTTTAAAATCACTTTACTTCCGTCTTCTAGACGTGTTAAGAAAGCAATTTATGGAAAAAAATGATTTTTTGAGCCCGTCACATGGGATGATCCCTTTAAACTTCAGTTTAGCATGCTTGTATGTCAAAACTGGGTTGAATTGTATTAAAGTACAAAGATTTTCGAACTTTCAGTTGACGTTATTCCGCATATGTACATATATCGGTCAATATGTGATTTATCTTAATGAAATGTATGTAATGAGCGTGTTTTTCCAATAACAGTGTATCTTTGTGCATAAAATGTATAAATCGGATTAAAACCCCTAACCCCCATATTACTTTTATCAGGATTTTCAAACATCTTGTTGACTTTATTCCTTATGTATTTTTGGCAGGGTATAATAAAATTTTAATAATAATTATAAATTATGTAAAATAAAAATTTTAATAATAATTATAAATTTTTTTAATCCCAAAAACTGGATTGAAAAATATAAAAACCAAAATGTTCTACTTAAGCAAATATGTAGTTAAGAATTAAAAAAGTAATTTGTTTTTGAGTTTACATATTTTTTAGTTCATTCTTTTACGACTTATTCAAAAATTGCAAGTACCGTTTGTTTTTTCTGTGAAATTTCTACATTTGTCGTTTAGGAGTAAGATTGGTTGCGCAATTAAATTAAAGGCAGTCACTTTTGCGTCTACCAACGAGATAATTCTGATTTTAATCAACGTAATTTACACTTTATTTTTAAATTCTGTTTGTTTAACAACAAATTATTATTTTACTTCGGCTTAATTCTCACGAAAAATCAGAACGGGGAAATAAAAGAACCTAACAAACCTTTTGTCGATTAGGTCAGGCAGTATGTGAGTTATTTATGCTATATGAAATTGCTTGCAAATATGTTCTCGAGTATATATGAGCAATATAAAAGGTTAATGACCCTAATATACCCTATATATGATTTCCGACTTTCTAGCTGACTTAAGACTTTAAGTTTAGGTTAGTCAAAATGTGTGTTATTTTAATGTAATTAAGTGAGCCGATTCTCTTTAAAATTAATAACCTATATTAATGGTTTAAGTTTTTTTTTTTCAATATATTGAATTTAGCCTCTTAGGTTGAGTTTATATCACATATATCTCATTTGAAGATAGTTTTAATATAATTTTAGCTGATTCGAAGAAAACATACTAATAAAATTAAGGGAATAAATTACCATTAAATTTAATTAATCAATTAAGATACCAAATTTGATTGTAATCCATTTATGATTTTATCGAATAATGAATATTCAACTCATTTGCAACATTTTTTGGATATAAATTCTTTTGAAAACATATTTTTGAAAACAAACAGTCTTGCAAGTTGGGAGAGTATAAAATGCTCAACATTATATAATATTATAGTAATTAGTTAAATCAATAGAAAAACATTAAACATGCAATAAAATTCCAATTCATATTTTTACTATACTTGCAGCCGCTTGTGTGATCAAAATGTTCCATCACGCTTTCAACCAGAAAACTTTTGTACATGGCATCAGCCAATATTTGCGCAAATAGTAAGTTCTACTTCTGTGAACAAAAGTTTCAGAGATATTTTAAAAGAACTGTTCAATAACATTTAATATGAAGAAATTTTCTCCCCTCTCTAAAGTCAGTATACTTTTGCGAACGAATTGAATCTTTTCGATGCAATACAAACAGCCGTGGCCGCGGATCCTACCTTTAGTCAGCAAGCCTGGAGTCAAGACGCCGTGCGCGACATAATGCTCTCATGGACGCACAGTGAATGGATACCGATCGTCAGCATAGCACGCGATTATGTAAGCAATACCATAACAATAAAGCAACGTTCGAAAGATCAGCACTCGCGTGAACACTGGTGGATACCGTTGAATTTCGCCAGCGCTTCCGCAGCAGATTTCGACAATACACGTGTCGATTACTTTATGCCGCCACTGGAGGAGGTAACATTAAACGCCAGCCAATTGGGTATTGAGTTGGGCATCGACGATTGGCTAATCGTGAATAAACAGCAGACGGGCTTCTATCATGTACTCTACAATGATGCAAATCTCTGGCTGATCGCTAAGCAATTGCACGACAATCACACGGTCATACATGCACTTAATCGTGCAGCTATCTTTCAAGATCTAGGACCACTAATCGAGAATAATGAAATACAATCGGTAGATGTGATATTTGAACTATTAAATTATCTGCAATATGAGGACAATCTCATGCCATGGAATCAAGTGGCAGACACAATTATCTCACTTGGCAAGAATCTCTTTGGTACGCCCTCATACAAATTGTACACACATTTTGTGCGCCAACTGATTCGCCCAATGTTTCGACGACTCTACGAAATGCCGTTGCATGAGAATCTCACAAACACCGAAACGCTGGCTAGACAAAAGATTATGGAAATGGCTTGCTTCGTCGATCTTAAGGAGTGTCTCGACTACACTCACAATTTGGCACACGAATATATTTTCGGTAATGTCAAATTCGCCAACGATATGAGCTACTATGCCATGTATGAGACCATTCTCTGTTTGGGCGTTAGATATCTGAGCGATGAGGAATTCAACGCCATACTGAAACTATTCGGTGAAACGCAACGCGACACGTTGTGGTATGATGATCTTATTTACTCGTTGCGATGCACGCAAAGTAATTCCCACCTACAGCAGTATCTCAATTTCTTGTTGGGCGAGAACTCGACCAAAAGCATTATGAACGACAACGAGTCCATGATGTATTTATTCTATTTGTTCAAAAGTAATCATGTCGCACGCCCTGTTATGTGGCAGTTCTTTGAAAACAATTATGGCGTGCTGTGTCGTTCGCAACTGTTCGTCGAAAACTTTAACCGCATTGCGGAATACCTGAAGCGTTCGAACTACGAACAGGTAATTTACACAACAGAATATTGGAAATATTTGAAATATTAATGTATACACATAGTTGTACAGCATATTTATTTTTTCTTTGCTATTTGCAGTTTCTGGATTTGCGTAATAAGATTGCCGCTGAACTAGCGAAAGAGAGCCGCGAAAAAACGCTTATTGCTGCAAATTCACCGCGTATTGGTCGGAAGGTAAAAATCAGTGAGACCTTCCTGGAGAAATTCAATAATCAAATCTACGAGTGGCTCAGGCGACATCAGGAAACCACATATGCGGCGTCTTTGGGTGCGCGCAGCAGTGCCACACAGATTAGTCATCTGTTTCGCGTGGCGGGGAAGTTCCTACGTAAAGTGCTCATCAAGAAAGGCAGATGAGCCGTTTAGTTTACATTTAACTTCTTTTATAAAGAATGGATTAAACATTTATTAAACTTTTATTTAAAAAATTAACAGTATTTTAAATTAGTTTAATTGTAACAAACTTGAAGCGAGTAGACTTGCCGATGATGTCGAGGATTACATAGGTCAACAAAAAGTGTTTTTTTTTTCGCATGGTTTTTACCTAATCCATTCTTGTTATAAAAGCAAATATATATTAGAAGAACGATTACAAATCAAAAATATTTGCTTTTTAAGCAATTATATCGATTTAAACATTTTTGATTTAAACATTTTGATTATAATGTCGGTCGTCGCACGCGGTTGCCGTCGAAAGAATAGGTAGGTAGTGTTGCTTACATCGCACGTTGTGTATTGACGAAGTTATAGCACCTATACGTGTACGTCTTATAGTATTTCGAAGGACGCGGCTTATCTTTCTAAAATTACCAGAATGTATCGCAGGTCAGAAAAAGTGACTAACAATGAGGTCTATGTAAAAGTTGAAGATCTATTCTAAGCACTAGGTATAGACGATTGATAGGTAGAGTAATTTGTCTATAATAATATATATGTATAATGCTATGAAACATATTTAATCTCTTGTTGAAACTTAACCGCGTTTTTCTCGAAACAACGTTCTTACGATCGACCCGGATGATAAAAAATTTTCAATCCAACCGATTGTATATGGAAGTTGAATACCACATACTATTAACGTGCCACATACCAATAACATGTTCACTCTGTTTCATTAGGATACCTCACATACCATCCCAATCATATGGAATAAAGTCTGACGGATGTTAGAAAATCCAGATGTTAGTTATATGAGGGCTACGTCAAATTTTTACCCAAGTTTATCCATTTTAGGCACAGAGATGCACTGTTATTAAAAAAATACGCTCTCTCATTTTCATTAAGATAACTCACATAATAGCCAATATATGCGGTGTAAAATCACCAAAAAGTTCGGAAGTTTTGGCTCCACTCAACCCATTTTGGATATACAGACATACTATTGTCAGGAACGAATCCTCGCTGAATTTCAATTATATATCTTATCTAGAATATATCTCTAAGGGTTACTTGACACATGTGGAGCCATTCTTTTACCCTTCTAAAATGTTGCTACAAAGTACATATATATTTTTGTTCACCTAACGGTTGTTTGTATCACCTAAAAATAATCCAGTTAGATATAGGGTTATCTATATATATAAATGATCAGGACGATGAGATGAGTTAAAATCTGAGCGACTGTCTGTCTGACCGTCTGCTCCTCCGTCCGCCCATGCGTGCAAGCAATAACTTGAGTAAAAATTGAGATATTCTAATGAAACTTCGTACACGTGTTCCTTGGTAAAATAAAGTGCGGACGAGTTCATAGTAATCGGATCACTGCCACGCCCACAAAACACTATTAATTGAAAACTTATAAATTACCATAACTAAGCCGCAAATTAAGATAGAGAACCGTTATTTGGTACAACGAATCGCAATCATGAGGGGCAGTTGTGGGCACAAGATGGGCGTGTCCCCGCTCCCTAATAGGTTTATTGTATATATCTCCCAAACTACTTAAGCTGTGTCACCCAAATTGCACAGGACATAATTTTGACACCTCTTGCGAGAAATCGGATGATAACAGCGCCCACTCCCCATATAACGGTTTTGTCAAAAACTACTAAAAGTGCGAGAAAGCAATAACGAAATGCATCAGAGACATTAAATTTTACATCCGAGATGACACAAAAGGGCTTTATAGGAGGTGTCAAAGTTGGACAATAGGCGTGGACAACTGGACAATGAAGTTGAACATTTTCGCTACATTTCTTAATGTAAATGCATGTATGAAATGTTCGGTTTCACCCGATCTCAGCCCTTTTGCACTTGCTATTAACAATTTTGACAACATTAAAAAGGATAAAATTCAAGGGAAAAAATTCAAAGAAAACATTTTATCATTGTTAATTTTTGGCAGACCATCAACATCCGGTCCAGTACCATATAAAAAAAAAAATCCTGTACCTGTGTTGGAGAATCAACTACTCTCTCAGAACAGCTATCTATCACGGAGTTCATTTATATCCATAAATTCTGCTTGCTAACCTGATGACGGATTTCTTCATCATCAGATGTTGACTGTCGCTAACGATGCACATGTTACATTCTCATTTAGATAAATTTATAAATAATATTGGATCTTATTCGAAAGAACAAGGATAATGCTTCCAACAAGAAATGAAATTTGAGAGACTTTAACAAGGCCAGCATACTGAAAGCTTAATGGGGGATTATATATGGGGTCAATAAGCAAAACTTCTACGGAACATGACAGGAAAATTAATCCTAAATGGATAAACGGTATCTTTTAATAACTTAAACAATAAAATAATAATAAAATGTTTATGTATTTTTATTGAGTGGAATTTTCCCTTCTTTTATATATAAAAGCAAATTTAGAACAATTTTTTATTAATATTCTTATTTTAGGACTTGGGACTCTAGAACCCGTGCGTAAAAATGCTGCAGGCCGGTGTAATTTATCCGTTCGATCCAACAGCAAAATATGTGTATTCACTTATAGATGATTTCTGATCTAACCAGAAAGTCCATTAATTTTCTAGAGGGTAGCCAAGCGGCATTTAAGGCTATCCGCAGAGCCTACACTTAGTCTCACTGCGTTGGGTTATGCAAAGAAACAATGACTCGACTTTAAGTAAGATTTCAAGTAAGAGGAAACTAAGTAACATTATTGAAGTCTTCACAAGGCACCAATATTCAACATTTTAGTACCGCATTATGCAATATTAAAAGTTGTGTTGGTTTTGGTCAGATTGCGTTCATTTTTTAATCGTGTCAAGAAGATTTGATAACGAACACAAACAGAATTTTGTTCAATCGGTCGAGTATTTTTTCAGATAGTGGGCAGTGTCGCACCGTTCGAAACTAACTCATCGGCATTCAATCACTGCCGGCTGACATTGCCTCGCATTCAATATATCATCGTCCAATTGCATACAGATATCTCAACGGAAGATATCTTCGGAGAATATCTCACGGACTGACGAACATTATTAAGAGGTGTGTCTAATCACCATATAATTAGAGAAAACGGCAAATAATGATACTAATAAGAAAGTTCATTCCCTCTACTCAGCACCGGACACACATGCAGATGAAAGCTTAAGTGCATTCTAATTTTTGCAACGTTCACATGAAATTACTTTTATAAAATTTTATCGAACAAAAACACAGTTTCTATATAAAAAGGTATGGAAGTGGTGGAAGTCAAAGCTTTTCAACATTAGTCAAGATGCACACAACAACTTATTGGTAACTGCAGCTTATAAAGCTCAGCAAGAGTAACAGGGTGCCGAGAAGTAAAATATAAATTTCCCAATGCCATAGAAAGCTCTTATTTGAACTTTTCACCAAAAATTAATAAACTATCAAAGTCATACTAATGCAACTTGCTTGCGTCAATACTGTTGGAAAGAAATAATAAGGGGGGGTGATACATGTAAACGCCTGAATTTAGGCCAATTTTTGGAGGCTTATGGAAAAAATGAATGAAGGACAATGCAACCCAGCATGTTTATTAAGTACAGATTAAAATATGAAAATCCAGTTAAAAAATGTTTTTTTTTTCAAAATGGCCGCTGTGGCAATCGATCTCTTGAAGCTCTCGCGGAAAAGGCATCAATTGGCCTGAGTTTTAGCTTCAGTTTCAGCTATCTGAAATAAAAAAAACGGTTGGATCTTGTTCATGAAACATGTATCTTCTAGTATCTTCATATCAAACAAAAAAAAATCAAAAACTGGCACGCCTCAGACTAAAAGTCGGAGTTTTTACCCTTTTTCCGACATTTTGTGGGTCAAAAAGGGTAGTTTTTAAAAAATTTTGTGGCATTTTGGTGGTATAACTAAAAGCTAACCCTACAAAAAAAATGAGTGCCAGTTTTCATAAGAATCGGTTCAGAGCTTTTCGAGTTATTTTGCACGCCATTTTTAAAAAAGTCATTTTGAGAAAAACGCTATTAAAGTTTCGACCATGGACGAGCGTCGAGTTGAGGCGGAACAATTATATACATTTTTTCTTAATAAATAAATTTTTGAGTAGAACGATGCTAAAAGCACAAGACCTTAAGCAATGATTTAGTTATTTATAGTAAAGTACGTACGTACTAGGAACTGCCTAGATTAAAAAAGCAGTTATATGCAGTATTGCTACGTTTGCGTTCAGATTGTTTCCAAATTTATAGGTAAAGCCCATTAACCCAATGTAAAATTTTACATCTAAAATACGGCTTCAAAGTGGTTGGACAATTGATTCGAGAGATGTATCACTTAAAATCAAATAAGTATTTTCTTGTACCCAAAAATACCTATGCAAAAGTAGTAAATATCGTTTAACTCCGAATGCGTTATTATTCCATTGTTTTTTTTAAATCCGAAGATTTAAGTCATGTGATTTCAATCTGCTACGCTTTTGTTAAGGTACGTAAATGCATTCGTGTATGTTGGGAAACCAGCTACGACTGACTATTTGAAAGTCAACAATCGGTGCGTTAGCAGTTAAAAATTTGGCTAGGCTGGAAAATTAGTCAGTGAATGTGCAGAGGCTGCTAGAAGTTTAGTACACGAGAGTTGTGTACGAGTATAGTTCAAGAGAATTTCAGGCATTTTGTTGGAATTCCGCTATTATGAAACACTGTTGTTGTTACTATTAAAGTAAATCTTAACATGCTAAAATTATCACAGCAAATTAATTTTTACAGTTATAATCGCCGCGGTGGGGAAAAATTGTTGAAGAAATCTATTGATTTCTATTGCCGGAGTGAAGCTGATTATAAATCAACAAACATAAACGAACAATTAATCTAATGAATAAAGCAATTATCCAAGAATTCCTAATAACTGCAATAGGGCATGATAAAAATATTAATTCTGACGATAGCATTATATTTCAAAAATCAAATATGTAAAGGGTGATCCATTTCGAGGTTCCCTACTTTAAAAAAAAAGAGAAAATTCATATTTAGTGGGGAATGTTTATTATCATATGAAAGAACATTACTTGGCATTTATTTTTTCAAGATTATCTCTTTCAAATGTTGCCCCGGGCTACGTCTTAGATGGTCCATCAAATTTCAAATCCTCACGATTCCATTTCATATTAGAAAGCTGGCTCCGTGTTATACATGTGGCAGAGCGCGTTCCTACGAATGTCAAGGCTTAAATCTCTATTTAACTTCAAATTGAGTATGAGCTTCTAAAATTGTTGACTATAGCTGTCTTGCGTACGTCAAACCGTCGAAAATTGTGAAACGAATATGGAAATATAACGAATATATGGAATATGGATCGATGATTCCACCGGCCCACAAACGACACCAAACCGTTGTTTTTTCTAAATGAAATGTCAGCTCTTTAATCTCTTCAGGTTGCTCTTCGTCCCAAATACGGCAATTTTGCTTCTTTACAAACCCATCGAGCCAGACATGAGCCTCATCCCTGAACGAAATTTGGCTCGAAAACGTTGGATCTTCTTAGAATTTTTCAAGAGCCCATATAGCGAAGCGATGTCGCTTGGGAAGGTTGAGCGGCCTCAGTTCTTGCTGTATTTTAATTTAAGATCTCGACGTAAAATGTGCCAAGTCATTCCATACGTCAGTGCGAGTTGCTGCAACAGGCGCCGAATCGACTCTCCACGGTCTCCGTTTACATTCTCAGCTACGGCCTCTATAAGATATTTAAATGAATTTTCGTAATACTGAACAAAAATAACATAACAGCTTGACACTGGTCATGCGTGATCCGTCAAGAAAGGGTATTGAAAAAAGTACCTCTACTTAGATCACCCGTTATATATGAGCACAAATCGATTATAATCGTGATCGGCAATAAAAGCTAGTTTATAAGCCCAGTACGTGACCATTAACTAAAGGAGAATGATTACATATTCTTAATTACTGCCATAATACGCGCCGACGAGACATATTGAGGTATGTATTCGATAAGAAATCTAGATCGACCAATCTACTTATATGGCATATAAGTGCGTAGAGACTTTCCCAGTAAGCTTGAATGAACTCAGAATTTTATATCCATAGATTGTTTATCATTGCTTCTTGACGGTAAACTTTCGCAATTTATCAGCATTTATGATCCGATATACAGTTACACGATATTTAGACATTAACCACTGGGTATTTTACGGTTGGGTACCGTTGGTTTGTGGTTAATAAAAGCAATGTAAGAGAGCCGCTCATTTATTTGCAAGTTTCATCATTTTTTATATTAGACCTCCTTGAGGCAAAACATATATAGGGGGGGTTCATCCCCTTCTGTTATGTTTATGGTATTTTAACAAAAGCTGTTATATTTTTATAAACAAACTCACTCGTTTCTTTATTCTACTGGGCGGGATTCCGATGACCATGGCGCAAAAGTTAGGTTCCATCACAATTCAGCGCAACTTTATAAAGGTTTTTCAAATATTTATCGACAATCGGGGCATTACTGTCACTTGAAAGCTCCGACATCAGCCACTTAATGTCGGCATATGATATTGGGAACTATATTGGTTGGTTGGCATCGAAGTTTATTGAAAAACACAATTTTCGAATAAGTTCGAACTTGTTTTATTTAAAAGCATTAAAGAGAAGAACTAAGCTTGGCTAAAGAGCCTTTTCCGGTTACCCCGTTTAATAATACTAAGAAATACACATATCTCCAGCGTATACCGGATACCACTTTTTACGGGATTTTTCCACTTTGGACTGACATCCTAATTAATTGTGGCAAAATCACCCAACTTCACTTAGAGAATTGATAGAGAAATTTTATACAAAATATTTACACATTCGTTTAACTAGATCCGGTAGTTTTTGTATTACCTTATAATCATTGTTTTCATAATTGTATAAAACTTATCTAACATAGCCGAAATGACCACTAAAACGCAATAAAGATAATACATATAAGTTTAAAGTCAAATACCGTTTTTTCAAACACTATTCGAATATCAAAGAAAAAATAAAAAAAAATGCAAATTAGTCCATCATATAAAGAATATAGTCCAATATTACTGATAAGTAATCGTATTTTTTTTTCGATTTTCCATTTACGGTCCAACATAAAACCTTTAAATTACACCTTTTTTATTGTCCAACGAGTATTTTATTTTTTGAACTACGGCGGTTTGGTTCACGAAATGATTCGCGGTAAATTGAAAGTAAATGTCGTCCTTTTGGCTACGTTGGCAATTATAGTTTCGGGATTGACAATAACCGAAGCGACTTTAGGATTACTGCCGCCGGAGACCCCAGAGCAGTCTAGCTCGCGTATCGCGGAAAAGGAAGCAGGAATTGGTTATGAAGGGCGCGCCGATATTAACTATCGTTTACCGAACAATACCGAACCAATACATTATGATATCGATCTCACGACGAATGTGCATAACGGTACAAGAAATTTCACAGGCAAAGTACAAATTTTACTGACCGTAACCGAAGACACAAGGACCATTGTTGTGCATGCGCGTCAGCTACAAGATTTCGAAGCCAGCATAAGAAACGGAAGTGGCATTGAATATGAATTGCTGTCTACCTACGAAGTAGAGAGGGAATTTCTCCAATTAACGCCACGACTTGCCAGCCTCAATTTGAACAGAGGCACCAACTGGACTTTGACCATTACATATAAAGGTCTACTGCGTACCGATACCGGAGGTTTCCATAGACTCTCTTACACCGATGCTGACAATAAAATACAGTAAGTATTGTGAAATATTTACTAATTTATTGTGGCGCATAGAAGTGCAATAGTGAAAATTTATTTGCAACATTTACAGTTATATGGCCACTACACAATTTGAATCGACAAATGCTCGACATGCTTTTCCATGTTATGACGAACCAGCCAAACGTGCAACCATTACAGTTACCATCAGGCATGATCCCTCCTATAATGCTATATCCAATATGCCGAAAAACGAAACAGCAAGCTCGTAAGAAACTGAAAACTCTCTTAGCGTTTTAAATTTGAAAAAAAAAAACTTCTCTACTTACAGTGCCGGTGTGACCGTATTCGACAAATCGAATGTGACCATACCCACATATTTGGTGGCTTTTCACGTCTCAGATTATGCATATACCGAGGCGTCATTATTCGCTTTGCCGCATCGGCTTTACTCTAAGCCATCGACCCTAGCAAATCATCAATTCGGTCTAGTATCGGGCATGTTGGTCCTACAAAGTTTGGCTGATTACTACAATGTTTCGTTCGTAATGCCACAATTAGTGCAGGTTGGAATACCTGGCAAGGGTGGTGCTATGGAGAATTGGGGCTTGGTAACATATGGTGAACAGTATTTGCTATACAACAAAAGCTCTTCAACCACAAATACTCAGATGGGCATTGCCAATATTATAGCGCATGAGCTTACACATCAATGGTTCGGTAATCATGTAGCGGTCAGATGGTGGACATATTTGTGGCTAAAAGAAGGCTTTGCCACACTTTTCTCATACGAAGTGGTAGATGAGGTGGGTCTCTGAAGGTTTTACTAATCAGAAATCGTTTAAGAAACTAATAACCCTCAAATCCTGTCCCTTGTTTTACTTTAGGTTTACCCTGAATGGGATGTTTATCAAATGATGCACACAGACGATTACCAATCAGCACTATCGAATGATGGCAGAGGCACCGTAGTGCCAATGACGCATTATGCACAAACGCCGACTGAGATCTCTGCACGTTATGGCACATCATCATATGCGAAGCCGGGAAGTGTGCTGTTCATGTGGCAACACGCTTTGGGTGATAAGGTTTTCCGCAGCGGTTTAAACAAATATCTGACCAACAAGTAAGTATTCGTTGCGATCGAAACTCTAGAGACTGCAGAACTAAATAAGGCCTCTCTTCTCTAATATACATTATATATAGCTAACATTACATCTGTATGTTAATATCAAAACTCCTATTTATTTTATGGTATATTCTTTCCAATGCAGCGCCATTCGCTCCGCCGAGGAATGGGATTTATTTGATGGTCTGCAGAGTGCTGTTAATGAGCACAGGGTGTCCATTCCTGCAAGTATACGGGTTATGTTTCCGACGTGGTCACAACAATCCAGTTATCCGCTACTCACAGTGACACGCGATTATAATGCAAATAAGTTCACCGTCACACAAACCCACTACAATGACAATAAGACCCTTGTTTCGGACAAAACCTTCTATGTGCCCTTCAACTATGTGTCACGGTCGAAAGCAGATTTCCGTGATACCACCGCCTCCAATTATTTGCTCAATGTGAAGGAAATCAATATTACAGACAGCTCTGTGGGCGCTGACGATTGGTTGATATTAAACAAACAATCCACCGGTTATTATCGTATTAACTATGATACACGCAATTGGCAACTTATTGCCGATGGTTTGGTGAAACGTCCAAAAATTGTGCATACCCGTAATCGCGCACAACTCTTATATGACGCGAACAAGTTCGTTACCAACGACCGTTTGGAACACGCCATTCTTTTGCGATTGCTGGCATATTTGCCCGGTGAGGATCAATATGCACCTTGGACCGCTGCCAATGCCATCATAACCAATTACTATGCATATCTCAATGGACATGCAGATTATGAACAATTTAAATTGTACATCCAATCGCTGGTTAACAATATCTACGAACTGTTGCAGGTTAATGACGTGCCCGGCGAACAGTTATTACGTAAATTCACACGTAATACCGCTGTTAATCTTGCCTGTACGTTTGGTCTTGAGAATTGTCTCGTCGATAGCAATAACAAATTGAAGGCGGTAATCAATGACGGTACTGCCATCGAACCAAATACCAGATCGCAGGCTTACTGCAATGGTCTTCGTCGTGCCAGCGATGCCGATTATGATTATTTCTACAATGATTTACTTAGATCAAACGACGCGACTTACCGCAATCTCCTAATTAGAGGCCTGGGTTGTTCTGAGAGCACAACTCAATTGGAGAAATTCGTAAAGAGTTCTATTGATAGGTCTAACTCATTGACTAGTTCGCAACGTACAACACTTTTGAGTGCGACTTACTCGCGCGGTCCTACCGGTTTATTAATTAGCATTGATTTTCTCAACAATAACTGGGAAGCTTACGCCAGTCTTTCGACCAGCACAGGCTCTACTAACCCATTGAGTCGGGATATCGTGAGCATATCTAATTATGTTAATAATAGAGATCAAGAAGCGAAGGTAAGACCTAACGAATAAATAATGGGTAGACGGAAACAACAAACTAATTTGCAACGATTTCATTTCAGCTATTGGCACTTGTCAATAAGGTTAAGAGCAGCAACATAGTGCAAGCAAATCTCGAGGAAACTGTAACACGAAACATGAAGGTGAACTTTGATTGGTTGGATAAAAATGGCGCAGAGGTTATATCCTTCGTGAAAACTTATCGCAGCAGCAGTGCAACATTAAACGCATCCCTTTTGTCGGTGGTGATGGCGCTCGTTGTGTCGATGGCGCGATTTTGGTAAATAACTGGAAATAATTAAACTGATACGAACGTACTGAGGCAATATGCTATAGACATAAGTAGAATACTGTGAAATAATCTGTACATGGAAAGTTAAAAGAAAAAAGAAAAAATTAAACTGTTTCAAAAATTAACCGATTTAATGATAACGAATACTTTTCATTTAACGAGTTCAAGTTAAAGTACACCCAGGAAAATATAGAGAAAACAATACTTAATGATATTATTAAAATTTTCCTTGAGCCAAAAAAACATGAAAGTTTTACTCTCCTTTTCTGCATTCCTTTTATGGGTCTCAAATAAATATAAAACGCTCTTCCAGGAAAGAAGTAGGATTTTTATTGATCTATGAACCGCGAAATATTTTTCCTGAGGAATAAAGCCAAGCATCTAATCTAAAAAATCTAATACTTGTAGAAGGTAAAAATAACGCGAGGCTTGTAAATATACTAACAGGTCGGCTAAACATTTTATCTATATTGTTAAGTATTGCCCGTCTGAGACTATAACATTTTCCCATCTTTATGGCAATTTGTGGATTCCCCATGTTCTTATGTGAACCGTGTTCCAGTGAAGGCGATCTGTATCGACCGGAACAAATGGTAGTCAGAAGGGCAAGGTTTTGGGCTCTTAGGCGGGTGGGTCAAACCTCCCAGCTGCTATCTTCCAAATAGTTTTTAATCGGTCTTGAAACATGAGGACGAGCGTTGGCGTTGATTATAGAAAATTACTGTGTTCTGTGTAGTTACAAATTCCAGCAATTTAATTTGATGAGTTGCTATCGGCAGCGTTCTTCAATAATGGTTTCACCTGGTTTTAGAAGCTCATAGCACAGTACGTCCTTCTTATCCCACCAAATACAGAGACTTACCTTGGGGTTATCAATATTCGGCATGGCCCTTGATTTGGCTGGTCGGCCAGATTTCACATACGACTTTTTGCATACAGGGTTGTCGTAATATATCTATTTTCAACACCAGTCACAATCCGATGCAAAACGATTTCTTTTTCTAGCGTTGAAGCCATTCATGCAGAATTTCTGACTTCTTGGCTTTAATTCACATCGCACCCGATTTCATTGCTTTTGAATGTATTCGGCTTATGTTAAACGTTTTGAAACGGATGTTTAAATGTCTGCTAAAGGTTCTGCGAGCGTGTCAACAGCCTTCATCGAGTAATGGTTCGAGTTATTCATGTTCAAAGCCAAAACCACCCCGCAAGAGTTTGATCACCATAAAAATAAATAAAAGTTATAACTATATACCAACTTTTCGGTACCATTTAGCTTTGTACTACATTTAGTCTTTCGTTTCAAATTAGATTCCAAAGCAATTCGCGAACAAATTCAGCATAATTTTGTGTTTTAGTTTTTTGCACAGAGGTTTATGTAATGCAATCGAACATACTCAGTATCACGCTTTATATATTTAAGTTTTCGAAGTTCTATTAAAACATATATATTTATTCAAAAGTTTCAACAGCTTGGCTGGAATTTGCAACCATATTTATGTTTGCATCTCCTAATAATACAATTCGTTGTTGCAAATATGTTCGATTGGCAGAGCTTCACCATAGTATCCAGTCAACCCTCCCTTTCAGTTCTCTAAACACATCTATCCGTGTTCGTCCGAAATCATTTTGCCATTGAAATATAAACACTGGGCTATCTACCCATTAAGATTCCAGACAACGTAAATTATTCTTGTATACCCATAAGACGGTTTATACCGTCTAAATCCATTGCTAAATAGTCACGACGCGACTTAAACAGACTAAACATTGCTTAACTTTCTCAGTGTTAGTACTTCCATTAAGGAGTTCACTAGGCGAAACGCCATAATAAGATACAACTCATTCTAACTGCTCCATAGTATGAAGGCTTTTTTCTCCTATGCCGTCTTCTATCTACTAAACTCTAGTAGAAATCCAGACAGCAATCTACGAAGCTATTAATGAAATGAATGCAGAATACGTGACAATGGTTTCATAACAATATAATATACTACTTGAGTTGAAATCAGTTTTAAACTGCAGTATTTTAAACGTTTCTGTCAATTCTATTATATTACCATAAATTTATTTCGTCGCCCATTTATTTGACTCAACATAAATAGTACCGTTTTAATGGCTTAATAACTGTCGTGTGATATGATAAGGTAACACGATTGATTTATTTTTCCATTAGCTCACTAAATCAAATTTACGTAACTCAGCTTAGTTGTGTATACTTAACGTAATGTATAATTTTCTAAAATAATACTTGTTTTATGGTTGTCGAGCAGAAGTGTGAAACTGCTAAGCAAACTATATAAATCCGTTTGAAATCAAATCGCTGCATTTTTCAAAAGTTAAGATGATAACTTCAAATATTTTGAAATTAACGGAATACAAACAGTGATACGCGATTGAAACGCAACCGAAAATTTATTTATCTTGAAGTCTTTAAAATGTAAGTTTTGTAAAGTTTTTAAGTAAAGTTTTGAAAGGTCTTGCAATGGCGAAATTGTAAGCCAATCTCGTTTAGGAACTAATATTCAAATTTCAAGAGTATATTAGTTTTTTTCACTTAACGATCGTTTTAACAGCTAAAACTAATCGATATAGATATAGAGTTATATATGCATAAATAATCAGGATATTAGTTGACATCCGGCTGGCTGTCTGTTCATCCGTCTTTCTGTCTGAACAAGCGTTAATTTGAGTAAAATTAAGATATCGTGATGTATGAGAAAGTCGATATTGTAGATGGGCGTAATCGGACTATTGTCACACCCACATAGCGCCTTTAAGCGCCATAACTAAGCTCCACATTAAAATACAAAACTGCAATTTGATACAGGAAATCGGTAGTCTACTTCTCTTAACCCCAACATACCCTTTACAGTGTTTTCCCACTTTTCAACTGACCTTTTATGTTAGTCAACTTGTATCTTTATTGAAATTTAGTAGACATGTTTTTTAAACACAAGCATTCACATAGGTAAGCTCGCAACACTTGATTTATTCTGTATTTTATGTAAGAGGATTTTAACACTGCCAAAGACACAAATGATAAGGATGAGCCTAAGCCAATTTTTTTATGGAGCCTTACATTGAATTATATCTATATACAATAATATTCTGATGTGGCCCTAAGTTTATGTAACTGTGATCATTTAAGCTACACTTTCGTAGGTGTTAGAATTTACTTTTATTTAAGCTTTATAAAAATAATCAAAATAGTACTATTGTAATTTCCCATTAAAAATTACAAATGATTTATAATAGTTTTATTACATAAAATGAAAATAAAAAAATAATTAAATTATGGCTGAAAAAATTATTGATAATGACGTCAGTGTTTTGATTAAATCTCTGATAAAAAAAAATTATAATAGACATATGTACCATATATATACAAGTATTACATATCATATAAATATACCATAATAGTTAAAAGCTATATAATCTTTATCATGATTTGGATCGATCAATTTGTGTGACAATTACAATATATCCTACAGTGTACCGATCTGAACAGACTGTTCGAAGATTGTAGCGTTACTTAGAACAATAATCTGTACCAAATTTTGAATATATAATTTTTCAATGTCAAAATGTTTTCCGGCACCGATCTTGGGGAAAAAAGGACGTGTGCGAAATTTCAGAGCGATATCTCTATAAGAAGCCCGTCGCACGTTCACGAATACGCCCAAAACGAGATGACCACCAATCCCGATTTTCACAAGATCATCGCTCGCTTTTCGTTGAATGGGTACAAACCAAATTGTCGCATTTGGAGTAATGATATTCCACAAGCTATTGTTGAGACGCCGTTACATCCTGAAAAACTCACTGCTTGATATGCTCTATGCACAGAGGGAATCATTGGTCTATATTTCTTCAAAACTGAAGCCGGCCATAATGTTACAGCCAATCTGGTACGCTTTAGAGCCATATATAGATGTGGATGACCATTGTTTTCATCAAGATGGGGCTACATGCCATACAGCCAACGAGGTAATCAATTTATTGAAGGAAAGTTTTGGTGACCGAATTATCGTGGGCTCCCAATATCATGCGATGTAACACCGCTGGACTATTTCTTGTGGAGTTATGTTAAGTCACGTGTTATTGTTGACCAATTGGGCTTCTCGGCTGAAATTTATTCGAGCCAGCTAACTTGTCCGAAAGCTTTTTTAAAATATAGTGGCAAACGGCTACCTTAATAACAAAGCTAAATTCTTGGCCATAATATCACATCTAAAAAAACACCATTCACCAGTACATGAGTGCTACGAATCCCAATTTGTATACAAATTTTCTTGAGTTAGTCCATCTAAAATATTTCCACTTCATTATGTTAGGATATCTAGCATTTTTAACTACTGTGTTCCGTATAAGGTCAGTCATAAGCTCGGAGTTCCACATATTCCGATTTCAACAAGGTGTAAGTACGTTTTGTGGTATTCTTCTTATTTATACAAAGCTCTTCAAATTGAGCACATATTCGTACATACCACTATATGTATATATGTGTATCTATATAAGTGTGTACTCATAATTCAACTATATACCATATGTGCACACTTAAGTCAATATGTCTACATGGGAGAACGTGTTTCACGTACAATTTTAAACCATATAACTGTCGGCTAATATAGTTTATAAACAGTCATAAAATGGCACCCGAACTAATGAAATTTGCTTCGAAACAAGCCCAATAACGCAGTTGATAAGATTTAGTGCAATTTATGACTATTAAAAAAAGAAATCCCATCAATACCCAAAATGCCCTTGAAAGTAAACCACTACAAGTATTCGGCATTGTGGAATATATGATAACAATAAAGGATAAAATAGTGTGAGTCACAAAAAGAACCTTTACAAGTTGGGGTCTCATGGCGTGGTAATTTATAAAAAGATTAAATGATTTTCTAGATACATACGAAGGTATATAATCTCAAGACTTAGTCAAATCTTATCTAGTTGTAGTATCTAGAATATTTAATAAAAATTTTTAATATGACGGGTTTTACGCTTACTATTCTTACAAATTAAACCTTGGGATATATTAAATATCCAATATTATTACGCCAAGGATAAATCAAATATTATATGTTGGTATGGAAAATAGGCCCGGAAGAACCCTTTAGTTTCCTCAGTACTGTCTAACGATTACGTTTCATTAGCAGGTATTAATTATTTTTTGGAAATAATATTTAAGAGATTTTGAGTGACGAGCTGAGTCGATTCAGTCATGTCCGTCTGTTCATCAGTTTTAGAGATATCGATCTGAAATTTTACACACGTCCTTTTCTTTCCAATCAGTTGTTTATTTGTCAAAACTTGGGAATATTGGACCACTATAACATATAAGTTGCTGCAATACAGAGCGATCGATCAAAATCCAGTCCTTGTATAGAAAACTTTGATTATTTGACAAGATATCTTCACGAAATTTGGCACGGATTATTGTCCAAAGCAACGCTATATTGTCCGAAGAAATTGTTCAGATTATAGTAGTCCAATATATTTATATAGCTGATATAAAAAATTACCGATCAAAATCAAGTTCTTGTATGAAATCTTTTGTATTTGTGAGAGGTATTATAACATGGGTGCAACCGTTATTTTTTTTTTTTTTTGACTGCTGTTTCATTGAAAACTCGACCAGAAGAGTGTTCAGTTTCCTAACACTGAAAACAGAGTCGCATTTAAAGTTACTACATCGGGTATATAAACTGTTTGCAAGTCTCCACTTTTGTAATAGTTTGTCAAATAAATTAACAAATTTACCCAGTGAAATAATGCACTAAAGATTGCATTGGTATCTCAATATCTCAATAATCTCGTATAAACTATTTCTACTTTTTTACTAAGCCAATCTGTTTAGTTTATACCAGTTCCTTGTAAGATTTGTCACCCCTCGCGGTTTGGCGGATCGAAGCCAACTAATTTAATTTAATTTATACCAGTTGTTTGTTCGATTTGTTACTCTCCAACATTTCGCTGTTTGCAAGCAGCTAATTAGTGCCGCTAGCAGCTATGAAAATATTTTCAAGTCTCTGTGAACCTCGCTGTATCAATAGAAATCAGTGAAACAAGTTTCAACGGTTAATTTCATCAAATTATGATAGCTTAAAAATACATAAGTGGAAGCGATTAACAAATAAACATCTGATTGGTAAGAAATGGACATTCTGAGGTTAAACGCAGATAAAATGATTTCTCAACAATGGCGTAGTCTAAAAGTTGGTTAGAGTCTCAAGTGTATATTCTTATAGATTCGCATCTATTTATTTTGTGTTTATGTGTGTGTTACAAACGTAATTATTCTAACAAGTCCATATCAAATAAATAAACATTTCATAACACAATTGAACTAAACATTTCTGCAAATGTGAATGAACGTTTATTTGCAGTAGTGCGAGTGTCATAACAATTAAAACTATGTCATATATGGAGATAAAAAGTCACAAAAAATAAAACCAACCATAATAAAAACACTAAAATGTGACGGCTCTCATACGGCCACTCCAACTTGATATGTACATAAGGCAAATGAGTATCTGAGTATGCATTTGTAGTGGAATATTGCTTAGAACTCTTGTTAACACATTGTTTCTACCCCATAGATTAATTTATATGAGCCTTTATTAGCATGTTATAGTAGTGTTTCGCCCAATCAGGAATCCATTAGATACATTATCGGATTGCTGGTAATAAATTATTCATATATACCGACATACACGTATTATTCTTAAAGAAAGATAAGAACCCCGAACTCGTCAACATGCTTTTAAAAGTGTATAACTCTCATCCATACTGAGCATTTCGTTAATTGAGCTGCGGTCGCAAAGATCACGAAATGTTTTGCAGCAAGTTGCAAGTGTGTATTGTAGTCCTTTTGGCCACATTGGCCCTTATTGGATACTGTGAAGCGGGCCTATACAGTCTGCCGCCACTGGATGGTGAGAATCCTTCAGCGCGTTTTGTAAATGGTAGAATCGTTACTAGTGGTTCGCCGAGAGCTGACCTCAACTATCGACTACCGAACGCCACCGAACCCGTGCACTACGACGTCGTACTGACGACAAACGTACATAACGGCACAAAGAGTTTCCAGGGCACAGTTAATATTGTTATTAGAGTGATCGAAGATACAACGACAATCGTTTTGCATCAACGTCAATTGAACATTCTTCAAGCGACTATAAAAAATACCGCTTTAGCTAGTGCTACTGAGGAAACTTTAAATATTTCTTATGAAGAAGAGCGCGAATTTCTAAGTCTGACGCCAGCCAATCAAACGCTCACATTTACCCAAGGCAGCAACTGGAATTTAACCATTAGCTATACCGGTGAATTGCGTGAAGACAATGGTGGATTCTACCTTTCAACCTATACTGATGTCCAGGGCAGAGAACGGTAAGTGGTCAAATTAAATATTTAATTTATTTCGTGTTCGCTGTATACTCACATTCAAGTTGATTACCTCGATTATGTACAGTTATTTAGCAACCACACAATTCGAGTCGACCGATGCACGTCACGCCTTCCCTTGCTATGATGAGCCAGCCAAACGTGCGACATTCAGCATTATCATTAACCATGATCCTTCTTATAACGCCATATCCAATATGCCATTGGACGGAAACCTCAGCACGTAAGTAAATGTTGGTCACATATTTAACATAAATCTAATATCATCTGTTTTCAAAAGGCCTGGCTACTCCGTTTTCGAACAAACTGTGAATATGCCGTCTTATTTGGTCGCATTTATTGTGTCCGATTTTGAGTATACTGAAGGTATCTTAAATGCGCGCCCACAACGCATTTATACACGTCCCGGCACTGTGGATGATCAAGAGTTCGCTTTAGTCTCTGGCTTATTGTTGCTGCGTCGTCTTGAAGAATACTACAATGTGCAATTCACTTTGCCGAAAATCTATCAAGTTGGTGTACCCGATTTTGCAGCTGGTGCTATGGAAAACTGGGGTTTGGCTACATATCGCGAACAGTATATGTTATACAATACCGAGAACTCTACGACGAATACACAAACAAATATCGCAACCATTGTTGCACACGAATACTGTCATCAATGGTTTGGCAATTTGGTAGCCATTAAGTGGTGGACATATCTTTGGCTTAAAGAAGGTTTTGCTACATTGTTTTCCTGGCAGGCAACAGATGAGGTAAGTGCACGCGTTTCTGTTATACTTTATATTTTATAGTATTACTCTAAGCATGCTTAATTTTCCTTTCACTCGTTAGGCTTATCCGGAGTGGGATGTATATCAAATGTTCCTTACTGACGACTATCATCGGGCACTAACCGCTGATGGTACCGGTCAATTGAGTCCAATGTCGCATTATGTGCAAACACCAGCGGAAATTTCAAATCGTTACGATTCCATTTCATATTCGAAAGCTGGCTCCGTATTATACATGTGGCAGAGCGCGTTCCCTAAGAATGTCTTCCGCCAAGGCTTGAATCTCTATTTGACTTCAAAGTGAGTATGAACTGCTTTTGTTTACTATAGCTGTCTTGCGTACGTCCAATCGTCGAAAATGGCGAAACGAATATGAAAATATAACTAATATATGAAATGGCAGCCCTTGAATCTCTTCAAGTTGCTTTTCGTCCCAAATGCGAAAATTTTGCTTGTTTACCTTCGAGCCTGAAATGAGCCTCATCGCTGAACGAAATTCGGCTCAAAAACGTCAGATCTTCTGTACAGCGAAGCGATGTCACTTGGGAAGGCCGAGCGGCTTCAATTCTTCCACAAGCTGTATTTTAATTAAAATCTCGAAGTTAAATGGGCCAAACGTCAAACGTCAGTGCGAGTTGCTGCGAACGGCGCCGAATCGACTCTCCAAAGTCTTCGTGTAAACTCTCAGCTACGGCTACTATATTATCTTCATTGCGTGCTGGACGTGGTCTATTCGGTCGAATATTATCCAATAATGGGTCTCAAGTTGGATGCTTGTGTTGCAAATAGTACGCTCAGTAGGCCGATTATGTTGACCATAAGTTGAACGAATAGCGCGAAACATATTCATTACAGAACATGAATTTTCGTAATAAAGTTGAACAATTTGTAAACGTTGTTCAGGCGTAAGTCTTTCCATGATGATGTGCCAAATAATATTCTGCTTCGATAAGCGGTCATAGTCGCATATTCGAAAGAAATACACATTATATATTTCGAAAATATCCTAGTTTTGATCTCTTATAGCAAAGTCATATAAGCTTGACTGAAAAATGTTTTTATTTTATTACCTCGATCTCTCAAAAATATTGATTTGATCCAATACCCTTCATTTAGCTCTAGAATTCTAGCTTTTTCTTTTAGAGATCCTATACTCCTTATCTTTTAAACACCTTTTGATTTGTTGATTTCATAAAAATATATAATACTAACTCCATATATTATATACAATCCTCATAATTTTACAGCCAATTCAGTGCCGCTGAAGAAGATCAACTTTTCGAAGCTCTTGCCATTGCCGCCGGTGCTAACAACGTACCGCTTCCGGCCACTATGCAAAATATGTTCTCTAGCTGGTCTCGTCAATCGACCTATCCTCTGTTGACCGTTACTCGTAATTACAACGGCAAGTCGTTCAGCGTACAGCAGGAAGCCTTCTACGAGGATACTAACACAAAATCGGATCAAACTTGGTACATACCCGTTAACTATGCGCACAAATCGAATCCGGATTATCGTAATACTACCGCTTCGCATTTCTTACTGAATGTCACAGAGATCCAAATCCAAGATAATGATTTGGCAGCTGATGATTGGTTGCTACTTAATAAACAATCGACCGGTTTTTATCGTATCAATTATGATGAGCAAAATTGGAAGCTCCTTAGTGAAGCGCTACAAAAAGAAACATTTAAATTCGATCCACGTAATCGTGCACAACTTATTTTTGACGCCTACAAGTTCAGTTCGACTGGACGCCTCAGCCAGGATATCTTCTTGAATTTACTACAATACCTGCCGAATGAAGATCAATATGCGCCTTGGACAACTGTCTACTCCATAATGGTTACTTTCAATAATTACCTGAACGGTGATGAGGATTATCAAAATTTCCAATTATTTGTTGGTGAATTGGTTTCAAATATCTATGAAAAATTAGGTATCAATGACGTAGGTGGCGAACATCATCTTACCAAATCCATACGCAATATTGCCATTAATCTTGCCTGTATGGCTGGCATTGAGAGCTGCATTCAAGAGACCAATAACAAATTAAAAGAACTCGTTGATAATGGTGTAGCAATCGAACCAAATCTACAACGACAAATCTATTGTAATGGTCTAATGCAATCAGGCGATGCCGAATTCAATTATGTATATAATGAATTAATGGCATCCGATGATCAGGCATTGCGTCGTACACTCATCGCATCGTTGGGTTGCTCGAGAACTCAGTCTCAATTGCAAAACTTCGTATACAGCTCAATTGATGAGTCCGCCGGCTGGCGTGTACAAGAGCGCATCACAATACTTAGTGCGGCATATTCGGCCAATAGTGTTGGACTTAATGTAAGCATTGATTTTCTCAGCGAAAATTGGGAGGCTTACAGCAATTTGACGCCAGGTTTCGGTGGTGATAACCCGCTCAATGCCGATATCGTAGGCATGGCCGCATACGTGGTCAATGAGGAACAGCAAGCCAAAGTGAGTATGAATAGAATTATTTATTTTGAAAAATATTGAAATTATATCGAATTGTCATTAAATTATTATGTAATTTATTTATAGTATTTGGCGCTGGTAGATAAGGTTAAGGGCAGCAATAAGGTACAATCCAATTTGGAGGAAGTCGTCAGGAATCGCGTTCAGCGGAATTTCGACTGGTTGCGCAACAATCGGGCTCCGATCATGTCGTGGGTGAATACAAACACCGTCAAAGCTGGCAGCGCGACGCTCAGCGCATCATTGGCAACGCTTTTCACAGCGTTAACGGTTGTGTTGGCACGTCATTTTTGAAATGTTAGTTTAATAACTTGAAATACATATGTACATTTTTACATAATTGGCAACTTTTTAAGCAGAATTTTTGTGATTAAAACTAGTTTGTAAATATGATATTAAATAATAAAAAATACATTTTTACACACAAAGCGTTTTTTGTATACCTAATATTAGTGGTTGAGATCAGTTCTAGTAGATAGAAATGAGTTTCTTATTGGTTGAAGAGTCGTAACAAAGTAAGTCATGCGATTTACAAGCGTGTCGACGTTACGCATACAAAACGAAATGCTTTCGTTGCCATAGTATAAGCTCTATGTTAACGGCACATACTGACACAGTTTTCTTCGTATGTTCAGTACCTTATACCTACATATGTATATGTAAGTGTAGACCTATACTTAGATATGATCGGATTAGGCGTGAGAACTACTCAAGAATATGTATTAAAGCTTGAAAATGAGACAATATTCTTTGTAGAAACAAATGCGAAATAAGCTTAGGCTATTAAAACCACAAACCCTACACATGGCAAAATGTCCTATCAATTAATGATAATATTTACATTCATTAACTTGGCAAAAGTAATACATAAACAAAAAGTTTACACACAATTTATTAGCTTACATAACATAACATTGTAAAAATCATTTACTGTTTTACGATGGCCCCAGTGTACACACACGCAATTTTTTGTAGTTTACTATTAGTCTCTATCCAGTAGAGCTAACGACATTACATTCAATACTTATTCAATTTGGTAATAAATATTCAGTTCTTATCAACCATAATCATAATAACTCGGTCCCCTATCTACGTCATTAAAAATCTAATATTGAGCTCGTGATAATTGTAAATTCAGTTGTACGCACGTATTAGATATTTCATTTAGTTTTTATTAGTACCTTAAATTTATGAGATTTTCGACAATTTATGAAGGCTAAGACTTTCTTTCCGCTAGTAATTGATAATCACTAGTAGAGCTCGATAAGTCAGTGCCTTATAATATGATCAAAAACACATTGAATAGCAGGCAATTCCTTAATTGCGTTTTCCAATACTAAAATACATACATACATACATACAAGTAAAGCTAATACAAGCGTTATAAAAAGAAAATTGGGAGTCATATGAATTGCAGCCAAAATTCTTTGAGAGCCGATTTTGCATGTCGGAAATGCTGCTTAAACGCTACAAAAAGAAGTCGTTATTGCATCGGATTACGACAACAGTAAACGCAAAAAATCATATGCTAAACCTTGCAAACCTGCTGAATCAACGGCAGAGGTAATACTTTGTATTTGGTGGGATCAGAAGGGCTTGCTGATTTATGGGCCTCTAAAACCGATGAAATCATTAATGGAGAATAGCTACTGACAACAAGTCATAAAATTGAACTCAGCGATTGCCGAAAAACGTACGGCAATAATTTTCCGGCATGACCACGACGTCATATGAAAGACCGATTAAAAACAATTTGGAAATCACCGGATGGAAATGTTATCTCACCTGTCTTATTGCCAAGACTTTGCCATATATGACTACCATTTCTTCACATCAGAACAGGGTATAAAAATTTCACTTGATTAATTCTTAGCGCAGTTCTTTTGAGCTGAAATTTACAAATTGACAGAAATTTGGGAAAATATGAAAGCTTCAGATGGGCAATACTTTGAATAACACTTATGTACATATTTTTCTTTAATAAACGTTCAAATTTTGTTAACAAAATCGAACGAATACAGTTTTAGATGTAATAAATATGATGTTATATAATGAGTTTCTCTTTAGGCATGTGGTTTTTTAGGAAGAAAGAAAATACATCTAATTTAATGCTATGACCAAGAATTTAGCTTTATCATAAAGACCATTCGACAAGCGACTTTACCGAACCGCATAAAAAATAATCCAGCGGCATTAAATCGCACGAAACTAAAAGTTTCCGTCAATAAATTGTTTGTTTCGTTGGCTGTATGGTAGACGCTACATACCTTGGTAAAACCAAATGCCGTTCACATCAACATTATCCAATTCATAATGAAAGAGTCATTAATCATGGCTCTATGTATAGCGTTCCCAATTGACTTCAACTCCTTTTTGAAGAAATATGGATTAATGCTTGACTCTTCCCATAGAATACATCAAACAGGGATGAGAATGTAATAGCGTATCAACAATAGCTTGTGAATTATCATCGCTACAAATGCGACAATTTTGTTAATTAACGTACCTATTCAAGTGAAAAGTTGTTGGTCATCTCGTTTTGGGCCGATTCACAGAACGTGCGTTTTGTAAGCCCGCAAACTAAGATCCTTCCGCAAAAGCTTCTATAAAGTGTATGGGCACAGCTCCAATTGTTGCGCGCGATGACGGATGGACTCATGCGATACTCTGTTCCACAGCAGCATTAGCGTCTTAGGTGCGCACTGAACGGCTCTGAGGATGCCCATCATTATCATTTCAAAACTTACTTTAAACACGTATTTTTCACAGACTTTATGTCATAAATTTCGAATGTTATATAAGGTTTCTTATCGAAAATATGTGGATATGGTTTCTTGAAAATACTGTAGTTTCTTCCAATAAATATGTTTTCCAGTATAGATCTATTGCTTGTCATTATAATTATATAATTCTCTCTAACATAAAGTTCGGCAAACATCTGGAAATGTTTCACACGCTTATACTCTTTACACGTTTCACTCAAATTTCAAGTTCAACTAATAATTTCGAATAAATCTGTAATATTTGTGGATATATTAAATGACACGTAGCACTTAATACTTACATTCAAACGCTCATGAAATTGAAATTGTTTGTATAGCAATATAAATATATAATTAATTTGCAAGTATAGTATTTATTGTTTGTGTAATAATCACAGCTTTCGATTGGTCATTTCTCTTCTGCATATGTTCAACTGTTTTATTACAAAAATTGCATGTGAGAGCAATAGGTATCCAACACAAAAGAGTATGTGAATATGTATGTATGTCAATACAGTGGGAGTATGACTATTTATTTTGTTTGTATATTATTTTTTCTAGTCTATTTGATTTACATCATTTGTTCGTTCTATTCTCATAAAGCTGCATTGAAAGCAAACAGTTGATACCTTCAATAGTATAATAGAATAGTAAACCGAACAAATTATACCAGTTTTTCAAAAATATAAAATTATCGAACTCTAATTGCTAACTTTTTGTTGCTTTGTAAAATGTTTGACAAGAAAGCAGCGCCATAAGTTAACGACCAGAGAAATGGCCTATCGATGACATCTAAATTGAACGCTAACTTTTTGTGACCTTTGCCATACTCAAATGCCTTTATTTATACGATGTCAATATAAGACTTCCTATAAAAAATTTTAAGTATGAACTTAGGGAATATTTTTGATAATTAAGTGTGCTTCAAAGTAATGAAAATTTAAAGAATCGAGACATGAAAAGAGGTGTCGTTTTAAAAATTTAAAAGAGAATAAAAATTAACAAAATTTGAATTGCAAATTTATTTAGAAAAAAAACTCATATGTAAATAAAATTTTTTTTTAAATACCTATACCTATACACATAAATATAAATACATATGTATCTAAATTATTGTTTGTATACATACATAGAGTATGTATATATGTATAATAATAGAAAAATATTTTTATACATGCATATATATTTTTTACCACCCTAATTCGTTTATATTAGTTGTAAAACTAATTTTCCCTCCCACCATTTCCTCTCTAATTTTTTCACATTCTGTGCAATCATTCTTACGAATATGGAAGATAGCGAAAACAAGTGAATTACTACTATATTTCATCGCTAGAAGTGATGCTCTTATTCACATCGTCTCACCTATATATTTGTAAATTTACACTTTGAGCGGTTCGATGCAGTTTGTCGGAATGTTTAAAGTTGTAGTATTTTTCTTTTAAGCTGGGCGCAAAGCCTATGTTTTAAATATTGTTAAGTTTATATTATTTTGCATTACCTTTTAAGAATGAGGTACAGGTGAGTGCAGATGTAAGTTTTAATTAATAAATTGTTGTTGTATAGTTAAAGTGTATAGTGATAGTGGAGTAAATTTTAGTGATAAAAGTTATAATGCGAAGATTTGAGTAAACTTCAGTGCTTTAATAAGTGATTATAACTTAATTTATTATTATTTTACTATGTATCCTTCCTCATGATTAAAAGCGAAGAAAAGTTAACAACAAATACATTGATTTTCAAAATTTCCTTTCTGGTTATGAGCATTTCTCTAATTTCAATCTTTCAATATTCATAAACTGAAAGCTACATAGATCGAGAACATTTGTACTCTCTATATACCGAAGACGCTATTGCTGTTGTTAAGCAGAGTAGCCAAGAAGACACGAATGAAATCATCCGCCATCGCACGCAACAATTGAAGCTGTGCCCATTCACTTTATATAATATTTTGAGTAAGAATCTTGGTTTATAGGTTACAAATTCCAACTCGTGCAAGAATAGAAGAACGAACATCCAGCGCGTCGCACGTTCGGTGAATGAGCGCAAAACAAGATGGCCACCGTTCCTACTTTTCAGAAAAACAATTTTTTTCAGCGCTGAATGGGTACGTAAATACCTATTTATGACTTTTCCGTTCAGAATTTGAGGTTGTTGATGTTGACGACCTTTGGTTCCAAAAGATGGCCCTACATGTCATACCGCTAACGAAGCAACTTTTGGCGAGCACATTATCAAGCGTTGTAGGCCTTTTTTGTGGCCTCCAATACCGTGCGATTTTACACCGCTGAACTATTTTTCGTAGATAAGCCCGAGACGATTGACACCTTGGAGGAAAATATTCGACTCGTTGTGATTACAAAGCCTCAGTAACTGCAAAACGTGGCCTCTCGACTGGTATTTATTTGAGCAAGCAATGGCGGTCACTTGCCCGAAATAATTTTTAAAATGTCCAACCTTTTCTTTATAAAAAAGCTAAATTCTTGGCCATAACATTAAAGTATGTGCATTTTTTTTTCTTGAAAACCACATGTCTAAAAAAAAGCACCCTATATATAGGTCAAACGCGTCAATAGAAACCTCGAACCTCAGTTTAGCCATTTCTTGATAGCTTAGTAAGGTTCGACAACAAAATCAGGTAGTCCTAATTCTTATCTAAGAAGTATAAAAAGTACAAAAATTTTAATGTAAATTTGCAAACCTTAGAATATCAAAATTGCACAAATATTAAATCATGATTTAATTTGAAAAGTAAAAATCTAAGATCGCAATAAAAACAAATCCATATATGATAAAAAGATAGATTCCTCTAAGTTTTAATAGATCAATGATTTCATAACTGAATGAAATTCTATCAACCTTCGACCATAAAAACATACAAACATACCGACAAACTTGTCATAAATTATAATATGTTTTCAACTTCAATAAAGATCAGCAATTGTTTAAATAAAGTAATAACGTTAATACCAATAAATTTATTAGATTTAACTTCTGCAAATTAGATTAGATATAGTCGTAATATGGTGACTAACAGAATTATGAGTGTGATATGGTATCAAAGAAAAATGCCATATCTGGAGATTAGAATGACTTTACACGTTGCTCATCGATTTAAGTTTTAATAAACATGTCTTTCGGCTTTAAACCAAACCACATTACACTTTGAGGGTTTTATAAATAATTGTATAAATGAAATATATTTATATAATTAGCCTTTACCTCACCACTACCGATGATTTGTGGGACCTACAAGTTGTAAGGCATCTCCGCAGGGCTTTGATGGGATATTGAGTCCAATGGCAGTGCGCACCTTTAGGTACTTCGGGTCACCTAACCAGCTGATTCGTTTCAAATACTCGATTCATCTAAAATTTCCAGGGAGGCAATTAATATAGATATTCACACCATTGATCTTAGCCAACATTAATTTAAAAAGTGGTCTACTTAGCTACCTAGGTATGGATCGTATGATCATACAGCAAGTAACGATACTTTGTAAAATGGAAAAAGCAAATTCCAAACAGATCTTTCTAATTCCAATACTCCGTTTATTTTGACGACAATCTATTTTAGCAACAGTAGCTTAATATGGACCGCTAAGGACCGATCATTACTTAATAAAAAATATTTTCAGGACATAAAGATTTTAGCGATTCTGCCTCGGACTATATGCACACATATCCCGAAATTTCGGGATAAAAATTAAAAAATCTTCAATACTATTGTCTGCCTTAAACACTAGTTCTCTGTTGTACCTACCGATAACACAATCTTTTTGCAAATCAATTTGTTATCAAGTGGAATCGGAAAACGCTTCACGGCACACAACTTAGCATCTTCTGGGTAGAGTTAAGAATCCGAAGGTAATCTAATGATAATGCACGAATCTTAACTATATAATTTTATTTTATTAGAAACCAGCATTTTAAATAATAATAACCTTTGTATTGAAAATTGCAAGCGGAGAAACACTTGCCACACTTATTGTTACAGCAACTATATCTTAACAAAGATCGAACACTTTAAGCTTAGTCATATACCAATTTTGTGATTATAAGAGGTATTTCTTCATTTCTAAAGGCAAACCTATTATATATTTTTAAACAAAAAACCACTGTTAACCGAATATAAGATTTAACAAGGTTTATCAATGTGACATACATCCAAGGAAGATATCGACCGATTTAGCTAATTTTTGTGCAAAATTTGTTATTCGAGTATCAGAAGTCTTATATGGGTTTAATTTAATTTTATTTTTTTTGTAAACATTATAAATACTTGAGTTATATAAATAAAATCAAAGACGATCCTGGGATTCATAAACGCGATATATGGAAAGTATGTGAGCTTTTATTGATGTTATCATCTGACCACACTTGACACGAACTGGCACACTTAAACGCAGCTGTTTGCTTACAACGCCAAACACAAAGCGAAAGTTATCGCTCTATCACCATATTCATCAGATTTGACGCCCTCCGATTTTTTTCTGTTTTCGAAACTGAAAAATCCGCTTGAGGAATGTGATATTATGATATCTCTATCTATGATATATGCTCAAACTATCTATCGCTAATAAAGACGCTCATTTTGCTTGTATTAATAGGATCCTAAACCTTTTTCGACTAATTTAATGAGTTACAACCAATTATTATGAGATAGAACTAACCTATTTAAAATTTTCTGCGCGTGATAATCTAACCATGGAAGAATGGATAAAAGTTTAAGATAACTCAGTTTTTGCTCACAAATTCATTGCTGGGAGTGACGATCGTTTTAATCATATTAATCTGAAACATTTGCCGACCGATTAATTGTATTACAAACAAACGTTAAATGAAGAAAACCGTTATACTCGTACATTGAAAGAGTGTAAGCAGGCAGGTATGCAGGAGTCCAAACGAGACTACTTGTTGATAACAGGAGATAAGCGAAGCTGTAGACTGTAGCCAAGTTTATGAACAACGAAAAAAACCCACCGAGCTGCATAAATAAACTTGTCATTTCTAACCTCATTAATTTAAGCGCGTTTACCGATAAATCATTCAACCCATTCTATTCTGCTCTTACTTTATTCTGCTATGCGCAAATTGGAGAGGGGCCAAACATACCAATCTTTTACAACACAGTTAAAACTAAAAAGAACTAATTACGTATTTTCAATCGTTGAAAGTAACAAAAAACTCGTATAATAAAATAAAAAGGGAAATAAATAAATTATTGAAATATTTTTGCAGAAAACAATTGTGCGCTACGGCACTGGAACTCGCACTTTTTATGAATTCACTTCAAATATAAACACTCATACTTGTGAATTTTTTCCAGCAATTAATTTGTCCACACAAGCAATATGCTGTCTCCATTGTGTGTGTGTATTTGTTTATATAATGATATTGCTCTAACGAGTGGCTATAATTGCTTTTAATATAAAATATCTAGCCCATTTTAGTAATAGAGATAATTATCCTTATCATTTTAAAACGGTAGATAAGCCACGACGATGCTTAGCTATAAAGGCCTATGTGCCTACATTTAGCCATTAGTTTAAGACATTTAACCGCCTCAAATTGCGGTTTACTTAAGGTTAGCAATTAAAAGGATTTACATTTGTATGCCATATACATATACCTATATATATAGAGAGAGAGAAGTTTATATTGGTGCTGAGTTGTGAAATAGAGTTTGCATTCCTTAAAAAAAAGGATATCGCAGAAAATAAAACCGAAAAAAACTAAAGTGCAATTCTAAAGTGAAGTGAGATTTTGTTGATTTTTTTTTTTGCTCATTTGGCATAAATTCAGAAGACAAAAACTTATTCGAAAAAATGTTTGTTGAAATGTTTAAAACAAATAATCGATAACAATAAAATAATGACTAAAAAAAAATTCGGCTGTATTATTGAAGAAAGTCTTTCAGAAGAGCCAGTGAGCCATTTTGCCCACCCAATTAAACTATTTTGCTTTGATTTTTTGTAAAATTCCGATTAATCCAACTGTAGTGAAAATTTTGAAAAACAAACATTCAAATGTGGACCACTAGTTATATATATATATTTATGTATGTGAAGTAATCTGTTTGGATCGAAGGGTATATGAAAGGATCAAAGTCTGATGATAAAACTCAGCTTGGAAGTCTTTGTGAAAACATTTATAATTTTTTTTTATAACTTTATTTACTTTTTATAAAGATATTGAATAAAGTATCAAAAAAGAAGACACTTCAATATTTCGTTCGACCTTTTACAATTATGTTGATGACCAACTAAGTCATAACTGATTCTTTCTTAATTGAGTTTACAATCACATACTCCAACTGTGAAGCCTCAACAGCTATTAAGTTCGCCACGAAGTTTGTAACACCTGGACCCTATAAAAAATATATATGTATATAAGCGGTCAGCATGACGAGCTGAGCCGATTTAGCCATGTTCGTCTGTCTGTCTTTATATATGTGAACTAGTCCCTCAGTTGTTAAGATATCAATCTGAAACCTCATTTTCTCTCCAAGGAGCTGCTCATTTGTCGCAACCGCCGATATTAAAGGAATATATCGTATAGCTGTCAACTGAACTGAACTATCGAAATCAAGTTCTTGTAGGAAAACTTTTTTTATTGGACGAGATATCTTCACGAAATTTGCTTTATTATTTCATTAGAGAGGGACATTTTCTTCAGTATTTTATCCAGAAAACACAACTTTGCCTGAATTTTATCGGATTGGGGATGAGCTGGGACTTCGTTATTTTTTTGCGTTCTAGGATTAAGTCTATGGACTTCATGTGAGATTCAAGTGGAATCCTTGTGGCCATTCGCACAATAGATCAGTTTCTTGACATAATCTTACTTAATCTATCAACTCAATAATGTTTTAGGGCTCTGCAGTGTAGAGTTTTGTGGGCCTATTAACCTGTGCACCACCAGCTCGTAAAATAATGGAAAATTCAGCTTCCATGCGTAGTATTAGTCTTATAAAAAAAACAGTTATTTAATACTAGCTGTATTAATGGAAATTTTTTATTTGTTTTTTTAATAAGATGTCACTTTTATTGAATGAAAACTGTAGAATTCTCAAAAATACATAATAGAGCGCTTTCAAAAATTATCTCCCGCATAAATCATGAAACAACTCTAGAAAATTTATAGTTCATACGAGTAGATATTGATATCGATTACTCCAATTTTTTATTTGCAAACTCAGAACATAATTTATGATACCAAAGATAAGAAATGTAATAAATAGTTGTAGTTTTTTTATATTCGTCATCGAACTCGGTTGTGATATATAACCTAATTATGACTTGTGAATTTTGAATATGTTCACATTATTCACAATAAGTCGCTAACGTAGATAAAAAATTTTACTGATTTGAGTCAAAAACATTTCGATATGGCAGCAAGTTATCAAAGTAAAAAAGTTAGACTTTTAAAACAATTGAAATTAATGTAATTTATTATTTTATTTTAATTTTTGTAATTTTTAATTTTTTATTCGTCTATTACTTATTCCAAAATAATATAATTTAATAAATTCACATTTCTATTTTATTTATTTAAATTATAGAATGGCCAAACAGTACCTCGCTGCCTTTTTGGTGGCATTTTTCTGCGTCACAGCTTTTGCTGCGCCCTACGCAGAGCAAACTGAGGTGACCGGCAGAGCGGTTGCACCCGACGGTAACGACTATCGTTTGCCAACGAATATACTTCCATGGAATTACAAGATCAAGCTTACGCCGTATCTACTGGAAAGTGATGGCAATAAACGATTCACTTTCGATGGTGAAGTTACCATTCAAATCAATTCAACCATCAATACAAAAACATTGATTATGCATACGAAAAACTTAAATTATACAACTAGAGAATTATGGTCTGAAGACGCACCCGACAACAAGACTAGCTTGGGCGCGGGCACGTTAAATGCAGTCACTGACAAAATCCAATACGATTTGACGACAGAATTGGTAGCGAATAAAACATATTTCTTGCATTTCGTCTATACTGGCACCATGGATGATGACATGTCTGGTTTCTACCGGAGCTCCTATGTGGATTCTTCGAATAATACAAAGTAAGTACCCGTTAGTTAAGTGTGATAAACAGTAGAGATATTACACGAATAAAATTTCGACTTACCTTACTCATTATTTCACAAAATTAACATTATATTAACATCATTTTTGAAAAATCTTGAGAAGAGCGTTATACGTACTCTTAAACCTTGCTTACCCTTATTATGGTATTATATAGACAATCGAATTCAATTCAATTATACCTTCGGTGTTGCCGAAGCTATTGGTTTTTCGTGTTTACTACGAAAATATTTTCTTTAGAGAATTTTAGTTGAACTGGAGTATATCTCTATTGAATAAGTTCGAATTCGAGAATAAGATCGGCATTGTTACATTCATTCGCGCCGGACCAGAAAACACTTTAGTTGGGAGAGCAATTTATTATTGATTAATTTCTTTTTTCACCGAGTTGTAACACAGTTAAACGGCTCATAAGGAATTTTTTCGAAATTCATCAAGTAAACACAATTTTTAAATAAATTTATTTCTTCGAAGATGGATTGGTTCTACGCAATTCGAAACGACTGATGCACGCCGCGCCTTCCCCTCATTCGACGAACCAAAATTCAAGGCTACCTTCGACATGACAATTAGACGTCCAGCATCCATGAACTCTTTTGGCAACACTCGCATTTCCAACAAAATCACTGACGGGTGAGCTTATTTCCTAAACGCTTTTCGAGTATTTTAAAATGTTAGCTGGCTCCACATATTTTTAATGTAATTATATTTTATTTTTTCAGCAATTATGTGGAGGATGTGTACGTGCAAACACCACGTATGTCCACTTATATTCTCGCTTTCATTGTATCCGAGTTTGCGGAACGCAGTAACACTAATTTCGGTGTAATTGCACGACCTGAGTATTACGATCAGACTGAATATAGTTATACTGTTGGTCAACAACTTTTAGCCGCTCTCAACAGCTACTTTGGCATTAATTATTACGAAATGGGTAATGATAAAATGCATATGGCTGCAATTCCTGACTTCTCTGCCGGTGCAATGGAAAACTGGGGTCTCTTAACATACAGAGAACGTACCTTGCTGTACGATCAAGAATCGACAACGCTCAGTGCCAAGCAATCGATTGCCACTGTGGTGGCACACGAACAGACCCATATGTGGTTCGGTGATTTGGTTACTTGCGATTGGTGGAGTTATACATGGTTGAATGAGGGTTTTGCACGCTATTTCCAATACTTCGGTACAGCTATGGTATGCTTACATGTTCTATATATAAATTACGTTCACTTATTTTAAATGCTACTTCCGAACAGGTTGAAACAGAATTGGGGCTAGATCAACAGTTTGTTGTCGATCAAGTACAAGTTGTAATGAGTATGGACTCAACCAATAACACGAATCCGATGAGTGATGAAACATACCCCAAGTGATCTTTCCCGCATGTTCATAGTATTTTCCTACAATAAGGGCGGCAGTATTATACGCATGGTCAAGCATGCTATCGGCGAGGAAAACTTCAGGAGATCGCTAAACGATTATCTAAACCAAAGTATGTAGCTATGTATATATGCATATTTTTAATTTATAAAATTGCAATTTATATTTGTCCAATGCTTTTTCGTTTGCTAGCAATACACTAACACCATTCCAGCTAATCTGCTAACCATCTGGCAACAATACTGGCCGGAGCAGACTAGAAGTTTTGCTGAAAACGTATTTAACAGCTTTACGCAACAAGTCGGTTATCCGCTCATCACTGTCGAATTGTCTGCTGACAGAAGAGTTTCACCGTTAAGCAGAGCGTTTCCTGCTCAAAGATCGTGATACTGCCAACAGAATTGCTCTACACTGTCCCATCTCATATACAACTAGCGATGCGAAAGATTTCATAAATACAACTCCCAAATTTTACCTGGAGGCATCAAAACCCCAGTCACATTTGACTTAACAAACAGCATCGAATGGATCATACTAAATATACAGGAGTCTGGCTATTATCGCGTCAACTACGATGACAGTACTTGGGATGCCATACATCAGGCATTGCACTCTGCTAACTGGGGTAGCATTCACGAACTCAATCGTGCTCAAATAGTCGATGATTTGCTCAACTTGGCGCGTGCTGATATCTTGAAATACGACAAAGCATTGGAAGTGCTCGAGTATTTGGAGAGTGAAACAAATTACCTTCCTTGGACTTCGGCCTTTAATGGTTTCTCATACATAAATATTCGCCTTGGTAGCGATACTAAACAATTTTCCGAATACATACTTGAACTAACGAAAACGGTATATGACAAGCTTGGCTTTGTGGAGAGTACCTCTAACAGTGCCTTGGATATCTATACTCGTGCTAAAGTGCTATCGTGGTCCTGCAAGTTCGGCAATGAAGAGTGTATTAGCAAATCAAAAGAATATTTTGCAAAAATTAATACAACTCCAGTGCCTGTGAATATCCGTTCGGTTGTATACTGTAATGCTTTGCGTTACGGCAATGAAAGCGATTACGATACATTGTTCAACAAATTTTTTGACAAGTAACTCAGCGACTGAACAAACCCTGATACTCAGTACATTGGGTTGTGTTAAAGATGAAACCCTGATTCAGAAATATTTCAACGCCATTCTGAGTGACGATATTCGCCGTCAGGATAAATCGAGTGCACTGTCCAGTCTATACACCGAAAATAATGAGAATGTCGGTCCAGTTTTCAAATTGGTCACGGAAAACTATGAAAAACTGGCGGATGCGTAAGTTCTGATCTTCAAGTCTAAGATGTGGAACTATGATATTTAATTATTTAATTTCTTCTTTTTTTGTTGCAGAATGGGTAGCTACTCTTCCGTTGCCACTGTAATCTCTAATATTGCCTCTCGTTTTACCACCGAGAGTGAAAAACAGAGCCTGAAGGCTTTCAACGATCAGAACAAGGATAAATTTGGCAGCGCCCAGTCCAGACTTGTGTCAGCTGAAAACACAGTGGAAGAGAATTTAGTATGGGCCACAAATAAGTTGGGACAATTTAGGACCTATTTAAATAACCGCAACGGCGCTGCAACCAACACAATTGCCATTCTGACCATGCTTGTATGTGCTCTCGTTGGTCGCTTCCTGCAGTAAGTTTGGTTCCTGCTTCCTGGTTGTACATACTTACACGTAGTTGCGTACAGTAGTTCTAACAATTAGATTAAATCTAGATAAAAATACGTTCTTTTTAGTTTGTTTGTAAATACATTTGTATATATGTAAGTATGGAGTAAAATTTGAAATGTCATTAAGCCAATTTCTTGTGAATAAAACGAATATGAGCTTTATAACAATCGAAAGAGGCAGTATATTATTTTGGACAAGCACGGTGCCGGTATCAGATTAACCAATTAATGATTCATGTTATGAGAGCGCAAATTGGATGTTTCCGGTAGAAATGAGTCAGCTGATTGCTCTCAACAGCATATTTATAAATAAGTAGACTATTTTTTATAGTTGGATTTTAGTTTTGAGCTTTGACTTTATGAATAATTATAACTGACTAGATGTGTGAAAAATCGTGTATACAAACTAAATAATCACAACATTGGTTAAATGAAAACAAAAGAAATTAACGGATTTCTACGTTGCAACTTAGGGCATAACTTTTGAAAAATTCGTTTGATACGGGTGGTAAGGAAGGTCAGTCACATACTAAAGCATAAAAATTAATATGAAATCTAGTCCCACTCAACTTTGGGCCTTCCAACAATACAGATCTCTCTACCTCTTTCTCTCTCCATTTACTCTCACCAGTTAGTGCCATAAGACCGAGTTCACACGCGAAGACTTTTGTCCAGACTGGTTTTCGACTGAGTCGCTCATTCTTGCGCAATATATTTTGTGTTCTTGTTTATAAAAGTTCGCTGCTACACACTTCGGTCTTCCTTTTCATTTTGAAATCATTTCCATGTTTGAAATTGCGCTCGGATTCAAATAAATATTTACAATATGTTGCGAATTTGAATTTTTTTTATCTATTTTTATACCCTGAACAGTCTATATTAAGTTTGCTACGAAGTTTGTAAAGGAAATGTCGGAGACCCTATAAAATATATATCCTGCCCTTTCCTCACTAAGATGCTGCTCATTTGTCAGAACAAAGGCAATAATGTAATATCCAAAGAAATTGTTTAAATCGGATCACTATAGCACATAGCTGTCATATTAACTGAACGATCGGCGTAAAGTGATTTTAGGAAAAAGTCCATTTGACGAGGTGTCTTCATGAAATTAGGCACAGAATATTGTCTAAAACAACAATGTTATCTCCGAAGTAATTGTTCAGATCAGACACTATAGTATATAGCTGGCATACAAACCGATCGATCGAAATCAAGTGCTTGCATGGAAAACTTTTTTATTTGACGAGGTATCTTCACGAAATTATGCACAAGTTTTTGTTTAAGGCAACAATGTAATCTACGAAGAAATTGTATATGTGATACGAAAGGGAAGGCAGAAAATTGTCTCGCCCATGTGAATACAATGGGCTACAGAAAAATATATTACCCGATAATGAGCAACAAAAGTCTTCTCGTGTAAACTCGGTCTAACGAACACTTTCAGAGCAGTTCCCTACCTAAGCCGACGAAGTTATTTGTAAAATACGACTAAAAAGTCTCGGATTTCCTGGGCTTAAACCTTTGACAACAGTTTTTGTTCCATTTCCATGCCTAGGTCACACTGATACTTAGATGGCCGTCGACAGATTACGTGGGGCGATCAACCTTTTTGTCTCTTAATTTGAACATACTTAAGTTTCAATCCAATCCTAAAATTCTAACCAATAAATGTTTCACTGTGAAAACAATAAACGAACAATATCTTTAATGAATAAAACTGATCCTGGTTTCTGAAATAAAATTACGATGAGTTCCATTTTATATTGTCTGACGGCAGTAATAAGCAAAATTGCTCATATGGAAAGCAGAAAATTCATTTGACATTCCTGAAATATCATTGCAAGACCAAAATTTATCTGTTTGTGCCGATGTGGGCACAATAAATAATTATACTTTCAAATGAAATCAATACGACGAATTTGGTGGAACGCAATATCGATGAATGTTGGCTAATTGGGTTTGCTCAATCGCGTTATTTGAAAGAGAGGAGGTTAATAGTTGGGTTATCAATATTAAGGTTCCTCCAAAATACAAGTAATACGTATTCCCATCTTAAAATTGTCGAAATCGGACCATAACTTTTATGAGAACCCCAGTGCCAATGGCTAACTTTTTACCGAAAACATCGGTAAATCTGTCTAAAATCTCCCCTTTTCATCATCTACAAGAGCATAATAAATCAAAAGTTAATTATGCTATTTCAATCTATGATTTTTGCTCATTTTAGAAATCCTAAACCTTTTTGGACTAATTTATTGCGTTAAACCAACTATTATGAGAGGAAAGAGCCGAAAGAGAGAGAGAACCAACTTTTCACATTTTTTTAACTGTAAGAGTCTTCCAGCTTATTCAATTACAGAATAATCTATAGCATTTTATAAATCTAGAAATACACAGTTTTATGCGCGTGATAATCTAACCATGGAACAACAGATAAAACAGTTTAAGATAACTAAATTTTTGCTCACAATTTCATTGCTGGGAGTGACGAGATTAGATACAACCGTTAAACGAAGAAATCCGTTATACTCGTACACTGATAATGTAAACAAGCAAGTATGCAGGAGTCCAAACGAGACTACTTGTTGGTAACAAAAGAAAAGCGAAGCTGTAGACTGCGCAAAGTACTTAGACAACGAAGAAAGCCCACCAAGCTGCGTAGACAAACTTTTCATTTCTAACCTCATTAATTAAAGCACGTTTACTGATAAATAATTCAACACATTTATTTTGCTCTTGAAGTGCTTCGAAATGAAAAAATACTGTTTTTGGTACGAAATATATTTTTCTATTTGATATAATCTCCCTTAATTCCAATACACTTATTCCAATTATCCTCCAATAATTTTATGCCACCATTTTAATGACTTTACGGAAGCTCTTCAAAATACTCTTCCACGGCTGTAATACAAGTAGTTTCTTCATTCGACGAAAAACGCTTTCCACCAAGGAATTGTTTCAGGCTCCTGAAGAGATAGTAGTCGCTGGAAGCCAAATGTGATAAATACGGTGGATGCCTGTCATTGTTAAAACACCTTTGTGTGCAGATGCATTGTCTTGATGAAAAAAGATTTTTTTATGCTGCAAATCAGATCTTTTGTCACGAATTTTTTCATCCAGTTGATCCTAAAGGCTGCAATAATATTCAGAGTTGATTGTTTGCCTTTCTGCAGACACTCAATTAACAAAACTCCTCTTGCATCCCAATGATACCATAACCATCTTTACTGATCGCTGTGACTGCAGCTGCTTTGGACCTAAAAAACCAGCTTCAGGTCACTGTAAACGTTTTTGTATTAATTTAGGATCATGGTGGTAGATCCAAGTCTCATCCAAAGTTATAAACATTTGTTTTCGATCCATTTTTTCATATTAAAAAAATACTCTGACACGTCTACTTCAAATGTACTTGTAACTTAGCATGTGTTCTCACGACAGATGTACCAACTTGAAAAAAAATTGGAGCTAGTAGTGATATTTCTTGGTGAGAGCAGAAACTGTTCAACCAACCTGTACGTCTGCGTCCGCGACACAATGCCAAATGCCTGAATAAACGGCCGCCAGAGTTCGGGCCCAGTAAGTCTCTCGTGAGACCCTACTGGAAACGGTCAGCTGGAATTGGAAGTTTTTGCGCTGGCTAACTCAATCATTTTAAATGCGGCGCCCATTTGGCTGCCAGCAACCAAATATAGCTCTTATATAAGAGGTGTGGTTTCAGCACACAGATTAGCATCACTAAGGCCATGCTGCAGATTTAGAACTGTATCAGATGCTGCCATGTTATTTCGGGCAGAATTGCGGTGTTCATTAATGATATTCAACACTTCAAAACAGCTAACCAGCATGCTCAAGAAATTGTAAAAATCTACGCGAAGTGCCTCCAACAATAGCAGAAAATATGGAATACGTCAAGTAAAGGAATGTAGATCCGTTTCTTGATACCGAATAGAGTGTATTATAAGCCAACATGGTGGGTCACGAGGTGAATTATTACCTTACACAATTTTTATCCGGTCACGGCTGCTTCAGAGCTTATCTTTATAAATACAAACACATTGCAACACCTTACTGCATACACTGAGAATATTGTATTGAAACGGCAGATCACCTAATGGTAAAATGTGTCCGATTCCGAAATGAAAGACGAATATTCTTTGAAGGTCTGACATAATTGATGGTACGGGTCATCAATATCTTTAAAAGATTTACACCCATAATCCCATATCCATAAAAAAAAACATATGTTTGCATTTGACAAACACACACACTTAAAATATGAACACTCACGCTTGTACATACCTATGTTATGTCATAATCAATGTCTGTCCATACAAGCAATATGCTGTATCCCTTGTGTGTGTGTGTTTGTAAGTGTATCGAGTGGCTATAATTGCTCTTAATATTGTAAAATAAAATATCTAACTGTTTGTAGCAATAGAGATAATTCCCCTTATCATTGCTAATAAAGTTTGTTTAAAACGGTAGATAAGCCACGACGTTGCTTAGCTATAAAGGTCTATGTATCTACATTTAGCCATTAGTTTAAGACATTTAACCGCCACAAATTGCTGTCTACAGCCAAAACGGTGGAAATACAAATCACTTAAGGTTAGCAATTAAAAGGATTTAGATTTATATATATAAATATATATATAGAGAAAGTGAGAAATATATATTGGTGCTGTGTTGTGAAATTGTGTTTGAATTCCTTAAAGAAAAGGATATGGCAGAAAATATAACCAAAAAGTTGAGAATAAACGGCGAACAAAAGTGCAAATCTGAAGTGAAGTGAGAATTTGTGGGACTTATTTTTGGCAAGTGGGCGTGGCATGAATTCAAAACACAAAAAATTATTCGAAAAAATATTTGTTGCAATTTTTAGAACAAATAAATGGTTATAATAAAGAAATGTCTTAAAAAATCTATGTTGCTATAATTTACAAAAGCTCTTTCAGAAGAGCCAGTGCAGCATATTGCCCACCATCTTAATTTATTTTGCTTTGCATTTTTGTAAAAGTTCGAAAGAAAATTTTTCTAACTGTTGTGAACAATTTTAAAAACAACAATTGAAATGTGGACTACTAGTTTGTAAAGTGGTCTGGTTTGATCAAAGGATATATGAAAAGATCAAAGTATGATGAGAAAGCTAAACTTTACAGTCAGTTTTCGTAATA